TCCCTGGGCTAGAAGAAGTTAGCAAAAGCTTGGAGATAAGCTTTGCTACCTGCAGCTGTGCATACTCAGCATAATCAACTGTTGTTTAAAACTAACCAGGTCTTTCTGTCCCTCCTTAGTATATGAGTGAGCTGTCTTTCCTGGGAAGTCAAGGTCCAGACATCAAGATTCAGCCTCACAAGGCCAAATGCAGGCTGAAGATGAAACCTAATCAGAAAAGTCCAGACAGTCAAGGGAAAGAAATTCCGTCTTCAAGGTCAAATGCAAGTTTGTGGGAAGGTGCCAACCAGCACAGCCACATGCTCCCCCTCTCCTACCTAAAACCCCAGCACATGCTCTCCCTCACAACCTTTAAAACCCCTTGCCTCCCATCTTTTGGGGAGACAGGACAAGTTTGAGAGCTCTCTTCTCCTGGCTGACATCACCCAAAATAAAAACTCTTTCCTTGACATAAGCCTAGCATTCCAGTTTCATTTGGCCCCTCTTGTGTGGCAGGTAAAGAACCTGGGTATGTATCCAGTAACAGTAGCACAGCAATGGGAATGTACTAAGGCCACAAAACTGTATACTTAAAAATGGTTAAGATGGTAAATTTTATGTTATGTATATTTTACCACAAAATTTTTTTTTTATTTTTCAGACCATTTAATTCAAGCTTTATAAACATTATCTGCAATTGAAGATTCAGTGAAGAAAAAAAAAACTACCCCTTTAATTCTGGCTACCATTCCGCCTTACCTTAACTGGAAATAACTGGCAGATTCGTGGCTACTGTTTAGCCTTGGCTTGAATTATCTGAGTTGACAACAGCTTCCTTGCCTATTGCATTATTTCTCCTCCAAGAGATACTTTTATTGGAGTAGTCCTGTATGCATAGTGGTTTTAAGTGTTACAGCCATGGGAGGTTCTACCTGAAGTATCCTCACTGGCCCATTGGAATTTTCTGAACAGTAAAGGTGGGTTTGGCTTAAATATGGAATATGAAAAAATATTTATATTCTACTTTCAACATAAATCAGTCACCTTAATTTCCTGCATAGAAGGAAAGAGAAACATATAATGTTTCATCTGACTACTATCATTTGACTTGCAGAAATCTTTAGTGGGGTCAACATTTCCTTATTTTTTCCTGACATGTTGATTGGGATTTCTTGTCAGAGATGATGAGGGTTAAAAATAATTGTCCATACAATTTTAACACCAGTTATCCTACTGGTAAGCAAAAATGGTAGCACTGTGAGGTTTTAGATTATTGGTGTTATAATTTATTTTTAAGTATAGTCATGTGCCACATAACGATGTTTCGGTCAACAATGGACCGCATGCATGATGGTGATCCCATAAGATTATAATGGAGCTGAAAAATTCCTATCGCCTAGTGACATTGTAGCTGTCATAACGTTGTAGCGCAACCCATTACTCATGTGTTTGTGGTGATGCTGGTGTAAACACACCCACTGCGCTGCCTGTCATATAAAAGTATAGCACATGCAATCATGTACAGTACATAATACTTGATGATAATAAACGACTGTTACCAGTTTATGTATTTTATAATTTTTATTGTTATTTTCGAGTAAAAAATTTACAGTAAGCTAAGGTTTATTGTTGAAGAAAAATATTTTTGAATAAATTTACTGGGGGCTGACCTGGTGGCACAGTGGTTAAGTGCATGTGCTCTGCTTTGGTGGCCCCAGGGTTCGCAGGTTCAGATCCCGGCATGCACTGATGCACTGCTTGTCAAGCCATGCTGTGGCGGCGTCCCATATAAAGTAGAGGAAGATGGGCACAGATGTTAGCCCAGGGCCAATCTTCCTCAGCAAAAACAGGAGGATTGGCATGGATGTTAGCTCAGGGCTGATCTTCCTCCTAAAATAAATAAATAAATTTACTGTAACCTAAGTGTACAGTGCATATAAAGTCTATAGTAGTGTCCAGTAATGTCCTAGGCCTTCACATTCACTCACCACTCACTCACTCACTCACCCAGAGCAACTTCCAGGCCTGCAAGCTCCATTCATGGTAAGTGCCCTGTACAAGTGTACCATTTTTTATATCTTTTATACTGTATTTCTACTGTACTTTTTCTATGTCTAGATACACATACTTATCATTGTGTTACAGTTGCCTACAGTATTCAGTACAGTAACATACTGTGCAGGTTTGTAGCTTAGGAGCAATGGGCTATACTATATAGCCTAGGTGTGTAGTACTCTATACCATCTAGGTTTGTGTAACTACATTCTATGATGTTCCCACAATGACAGAATCGCCTAATGACGCATTTCTCAGAAGATATCCCTGTCGTTAAGTGACACATGACTGTATACACTTGACAACTAGTCCTTTATGTATAATGCTATTGTGTAGTTTAAAAAAGAACTTCTATTTTTGTGCCTGGCACCTTATGATGCATTATCTTATTTTAATCCTCATATCAAGCTTGTTTACTAGTGCCCTTTCTATTTACAGATGAGGAAACTGAGGCTAAAAGAGGCTAGGAAGCAGGCCCTAGGCACACAGCTAAAGAGTGGCAGAGGGGAATTTAAGCCTGCTTAATTTCAGAACCCTGGACTTGAATTATTCCATATTATAGAATTCACTGTCATAGGACTGGCCCTTCAATGATTTCTTTGTAATCAGATGCTTCTAAAACCTTGACCATATAAACACCTATTTTCTTTTTTGGTGAGGAAGATTAGCCCTGAGCTAACATCCGTTGCCAATCCTCCTCTTTTTGCTGAGGAAGACTGTCCTTGGGCTAACATCCATGCCCATCTTCCTCCACTTTATTTGTAGGATGCCTGCCCCAGCATGGCTTGATAAGCAGTGCATCGGTGCGTGCCTGGGATCCGAACCTGCAAACCTCACGCCGCCAAAGTGGAGGGCACAAACTTAACCACTATGCCACTGGGCTGGCCCCTAAACACCTATTTTTATTTACATTATTTTATAATTAGAAAAACTTTTCTTTATAAATAACACATTAAAATGTAGATCAAAATACTATTTAAAACATTTTGTGAGGAAGAACACCTTTTCTTATTCCTGAAGACCTAACTTCATATTATGGACCCAAAGCAAAGATTATGACCGTAACAACCAAGTGGAAAATTGTCGAGCAAGACTGTGAGAGCTGGAAGTGGGTCTTATTTACTAGTAGTAACCTTAGGGTCTGAATATCTTTTTTGGAACCAAGAATGGATAGTCCTCTTTCATTTTGTAGTCTGTGTGGCCTCACTTAATTAGATTCTGCCCAAGACCCGTGTTTTTGTGGTTCTTGGCCTTGTATTGAAACTCCTCAGAGACAAATTTGGCTCTTTTCAGCCCAGTTTTTAGAGAGTGCAGGCTGAAGGAAAGGCCTCTGAGCCATGTGTGAAGGACAGCAGTGCTGCAGGCTCTCAGGGCAGCAAGTTTTTATCCTGAGAGCCAAGACGCACTGTCCAGCAGTTTCTCCTCTCTTTACCAGCCGCCTCTCTCCTGCCAATAGCAGGAGCATCAAAAGGGGAGGATGTACAGGAAATGCCAACCTAAGTGGTAAAGTCACTGTGGAGCATCCAAAACTGTTTCAATTAAACAAACACACATCATTTCAATGGCTTATATTTGAGGTATAAAATTTTATTTTAAAAAGTCCATTAAAAATACCTTCCATTTTTGCCTCTTAACATTGATCATTCAACCTCTTCAGAATTTAGAACACTGTTAGGACAGAGGTACAAGGGATACATTTAGAAAAGAAACCACACCCAGCCCCTCTAGCAAAGCCAGGGACCAGTTCCCCCTCCAATTTGCCTTTGCGTCTATGGGACATAACACCATGTGGCAACTAAGTAGTGAGCCTGGATGTGTGGATAACAGAACTGAGGTTCATTACTTGACAGCAGTGCTCTTCTCAACTGGGACAATTTTGCCCTTCCAGGGAACATTTGGCAATGTCTAGAGACATTTTTGTTTGTCACACTGGGGAGGTAGGGAGAGGGGGAAACAGCACTATTGGCATCTGGTGGGTAGAGGCCAGGGATGCTTCCAGACATCCTACAATGCATGGGACTGCCCCCCACAGCAAAGCATTACCCGCCCCAAGAGGCCAATACTGCCAACGTTGAGAAATTCTGCTTTACCGTCCCACTTCAGGGTGTGCGTGTGTATGTACATCCGCTGGGGCTGGAGGAGATTTAGAATCAGAAACAACAATACTGTTATTAACCCACCGGACACAGAATCTGTTCTGTCAGCCAGACTGACCATACTGCACTTTCTTCTCCGTCCCTCCCGGGAGGGCTAAGCACAATGGCATACCTGCTAGGTGGCCTGGTCAGCTTCAGTCTTCTGCTCTTCTAGTTCCTTCATTCATTCCTGGGTTTCAGGTGGGCTTTGAAAGGCTAAGTTGCTAGAGGCACAATTACCAGACTCTGAAGCTGTTGTTCTTTTACGTCATAGCACACAGCAAAAAGTGAAAATATTTCTATACCACCCTGGGGTAAACTGAGGAAGCTGTTCAACATTGATCAGCTCTGAGGCTCCAGTCATAGCCAGGGGTGAAGGATCAATATTCCCTGCATATCTGTTCCCTCTTCAGGGCACACAGGTTGGGAAAGTGCATAAAGTTTCAGAATGCTAGAAAACAACTTAAAAACTTAAGAATTTTTGTAGTCATCACAATTAGTAGCAATTCCGCGCAACAACTGCCTGGGAAACTCTGATATTTCTGTTCTCCATTTTTTTCCCTTATTAGTACCCTTAAAATCCCTTCAGTTAATCTGTGGAGTGGAGATTGCATGTAATTCTTGAAGCCTGTAGTGACTGATACAACAATTGATACTGAAGTTAACAGACCCTATAATTTTGGAATGCACTGTAGTTGTGATACAAAAAACCTATTTGAAGAGAACTTAGAATTTTACAGTACTTTTATTGTAACAGGAGCCTATGTGGAAAAGAGAGCACAAAATAAGAAAGTTGATTTATTTTATATTCTCTGAATTTTTTTTTTCTCACTCAAATAAAATTCCAGGAAACTGAATGAATAGCATAATTGAAGGTTATGGAATGAACTGAAAGAAAATGATCTTCCTTAAATATCTCTTCTCATCCTTTCAAAACCCAATTAGGCTTCTTTTTTGATTGGGCCTCAGCCATTAATAGGTCTTCCTGTTTAGCAGGTTGTTTGCTATAGATTTCTTTTCCTGTTCTCCCACTATGAAATGCAGGGAATAATTTTTTTGCAGACACAGAGCCAATATCAGTGAGGAAAGAATTGTGAAGGGTCTGAGGCAGTACACTTTCAGGGGGTTACTCACTAAGTGAGGAGATGACTTCATGATGCCAAAGCCCCCCCAGAGTCAGTTCTGGCTGATGTGTATCAAACGGTGCAGAAGGTCTATTCTCGAACACTGGTAGAGCGCGCAGGCCAGCTTTCCCACTGTGGCCCCCTTATTGCCCTCCCTCATCAGCCACTTTTGGAGCATCTGGTAAACTTTTTCTTTTAGTCCATCTCGCTCATAGTCATGGTCAATTTCATCAATCTGAGATTCAGTGAAGTTCAGTTTACGGGCACAGTTTTTCCAGTGCTTTCCCAGATTCTCCCTGACTGGGTCCAGGTGTTTATCAGTCAGACTAGTGGTATTATCTGCCAAACAGAAAAGAGCAGAAGGCATCAAGCTATAACCTATTTGAACATCCTAGCTCTAACAACCTGTATAAAGTAAAGAGTACTAGGAGACACTGAAAAAGACAATTTCCTTATTATATAGCTGTTGACTCACTGGATGACACTTTACATGTCTGCTAGCCCATATGGAGCTTTTGTGCGAAGGGAGCCTCTTCCTCCTAGCAGATGCATCTCTGAGCCACAGCTGATGGCTTTGGGAACAAAACCCCTGCTTGGCTACTAGGCTGTTCTATACAACCTTAGCCAGCAGCCCTGTTTATATTAGACCTTCCTGAGGTAAAGGGGAAAAACACCATTTTTGCTCCTTCTGGGCCTTTTCCACTTACATCTGGCCAGAGTTAAGGTCATCCAATTTCTGATCCCCTTCACCCAGCAGTTTACTTTCCTCTTCATCAAGGAAACTGAGATCATCAAGTGTGAACTCGTCCAATTACAATGCCTTCCCTTGTCTTCTAAGGAATGAAGTCTCTATATTCTTCAAGGTCTATGTTTGGACTCGTCCTGCCCCCACCCCATGTGCTGTCCTCTCTTCTCCTATAGGCATAACCTCTCTCTTTCTACTGGTTCCTTCCCCTTAGGCCTTCATAAAAATAATAAAAGGAAACAAACAAAAGAAGTACAAAACAACCATCACAAACCATATTCCTTGATCCTCATGCTACCTCAGTAAGCTGAATATAAGGAAAAAGACATCTCATTTGCCCCCTCAACTCCCATTCTGTCCTCTGCTCCCCACAACGTGGCTTCTGTCATCACCACTGGACATCAGCAGTCCAAAAACCTCCCAAGATATCTGCTTAGTTTTGTCAATACCTCTCCAGGAGCAGGACCCTGGGTTTCATCAGATTCTCAAAGGTATACCTTTGTCACTCCAAAACTGAGGAACCTCTGCTCTGGATATTTTAAAGACTATCCTTCAAATCGGTTTGACCAGGGATTGGCCAATTATGGCTTGTGGAGGCCCACCTGGCCCGCTGCCTGTTTTTGTAAACAAAGTTTCACTGGAACACAGCCACAGCCATTTCTGTACATATTGTCTGTGAATGCTATCATACTACAATGTCAGTTGAGCAGTTGCATTAGAGACCTCAGGGTCAGCGAAGCCTAAAATATTTACTATCTGGCCCTTGATAGAAAAAAAAATCTGCCAATCCTAGGGTTAATCAGACAGCTGGATTCTTAAATCACATTGTTTTGGCCTCATGACTACTATTCCCAAGTTGTATTTTGGGATCAATGTTATGAGCCTGCATGGTGGAACCCTATAAGACAAAGCCCTCTTGTTTTTATTATAGAGGTGCTGTTGAGGGTGTAGTCTTCTATCTTTTACAGAATCCCTTTTGATGAGGACCTGAGGAGCTCTCTCTCCTCAATCTGAGTGGTGATATTGATGATGATGATGATGTTTAACACATTTATAGATCTTACTGTGTGCCAGGCAGTGGTCTAAGCTCTTGATACATAGTGACTCATTTATAATTTTCATAACAAATCCATGGATTATTGTAATTATCCCCATATTAAACATAAGTAAATTATAAAGGAATTATATGGAAATTACAGAGATATTTTACAGAGAAAACATGGGACAACTTTTAGGGAGAATAATCAGAGAAATTTTAGGATTCCACTATATCCCTTTCACTAAGTAAGAAAGTTCAAGGTTGCCAGGCAATGGGTCCTTAAAAGGTATCCTACCAAAGATATCTTGGTACTTAGAAGCTGGCTCTTCCTTCAAGTTCATGTATGTGCTGTCCAGTAGTTGGGAACTCATTCCGCCAATCTCCATATAATTATTGTCTCCAATCTGAATGCCAGTGCTGTTGTATATGGTACATTTTGCAGACTCATCTGAATAGAGAGAAACACACAGATAAGTACAATAGATTGAAAACAAGAGAAAAAATACAACACAGTAAAGGGGAAGGGCTTTATTCCAAATGTTTAAGTTAAATCGTTTATCCTATGCCACCCTTTGAAATTTTCTTCTTTAAAATGTGGCTGAACCACCTCACATCCATTAGAATGGCTACGCTCAAAAAACCCAGAAAATAACAAGTATTGGCAAGGATGTAAAGAAATTGGAACCCTTGTGCACTGCTGGTGGGAGTATAAAATGGTACAGCTGCTGTGGAAAACAGTATGGTGGTTCCTCAAAAAAATTAAAAACAGAATTACCATATGATCCAGCAATTCCACTTCTGGGTATATACCCCCAAAGAATTGAAAGCAAGGTCTCAAACAGATATTTATACACCCATGTTTATACCAGCATTACTCACAATAGCCAAAAAGTGAAGACACCCAAGTTATCTATCAACGGATGAATGGATAAACAAAACGTGGTATATACATACAATGGAATATTATTCAGCCTTAAAAAGGAAGGAAATTCTGACACATGCTACAACATGGATGAACTTTTAGGACATTATGCTAAGTCAAGTAAGCCTGTTGCAAAAAGATAAATACTGTATGATTCCACTTATATGAGGTACTTAGAGTAGTCACATTCATAGAGACAAAAAGTAGAAGGGTGGCTGCTAGGGGCTAGGTGGAAGGAAAAGAATGGGGAGTTATTTTCTGATGAGTACAGAGTTTCAGTTTGGGAAGATGAAGAGAGTTCTGGACATGGATGGTGATGATGGTAGCCCAACAATGTGGCTTTCATCACAAATGGTAGTCTTTGGCCTATATAAGATAAGAAATGAAAATATCCAAGACTTATTTCTTACCTTCAGAAAATAGCAAGCAAATTAAATATAAGCAGATACCATCACTTATGTCAGAGATTGGGTATAATGGGAATACTGTGATTCAGTTACAGTGGAAATGCCTATCAGTTACAAGGACCTGTAACTCAACACTTATGGGTAGCTGCAATGAATCCTACCCATGCTGAAATACGCCCAGGACAAGTGGTCTGATGAATACTATTCCACCGTGGCAAGTTGCATCTGGAAACTGAAGACTCCACACAAAGAAGCCTTTGTTACCTTATAGTCTACAACAGAGCTAATGGCTGATTTATTTTCAGAAACATAAAAAAAAGATAAGATCGTGACTGAAGGGCCTGTTTACCTCTTGATGGGAAGGAGATGAATGGAACGGTGGGTGTGTTTCCCAGTACGTTGGTCTCAGGCACTGGAGTTTTATGCACGCTTGACATATGGCTTGGATTTGGCACATACCAAACTCTTTGACCTGCTGTTCCCAGATCCAGTGGTCTTGTTCCCAAACCATGTGGACTATATGATCCATTGTTCCAGTATGGTACGTGGGGTTGGCTGGTTAGCCCAGCTGGTTGGTGTACTGCATTACCATAACTGTTTGCACCAGAATAGGCAAGGCCTTTAATCCCTGAGTTCTGAACATTATCATAAGGTCTCTGCTGTGCAAAAGGGTCATGGGAGACCCTTCGCCTCCTTTCCTCCTCTCTGTTGTAAGCCATATTCTGTCTGGGTTGCTGTTTTGTCTGCTTGTCCATGCGGCTGCCAAAAAGATGGTAGTTGGCTTCCTCCTGGAGTTTACTCTGCAGGATGAGCTCATTCTCCTCCTGCTGGTGCTCTGAGGAAGGAGCAAACCAGGACTCCTCCACAGGACCCATCCCGAGTCCCTGTGAACTGTGCAGCGAACTGGGCTGTTCTGTGGCTGAGAAGCAATGAGCAACATTGGAAAGAGTTTCATGAAACATCAAGAAGTAAAATGAAACCTGAGCACAATCACGAAGCTGTATCTCAGAGTAACATCCTGAAAACTTTGAGAACAAGTAAAAAGCATTTACTAGATGGTCTTCTTCCTACAAGTTATACAGGTAATAAGTCGGGGCCCCTGTCTGACAGTGAGAAAGCACTGGAAATTATAACGAGCGACAGAAAAGTGGGTGTCGCAGGAATGACCAGGGAGGAAAGGGACCTGTGCTGGAGCAGAGACAGTGGCTGTCTCCCTGGCGTGATGCAGGGTTACAAAATAAGAACAGCAGCAGCTCTGTGCTGAGCACTTTACGTGATTCTTCCATTCTTTAAAAGCCCTATGAGACTAACTATCATCATGACTTGATGGATGAGGTTTACAGGAGGTTAAGTAATTTGCCCCAGATCAGAGTTAACAAGTGGCTTCAACATCCTATACTCTGCCTTCCCTTTTGTTACAATGGAAAAAGTGCCCCTGCCTGAAGCTGAGGCCCATGTCTCTGCTCGTGCTCTGCATCTAGTCACCTCCGACCTTCTCACGGACTCTGCTCCCACATACGTTCCCTTCTTTCTCCTGAACCGTCGCTTTCTCCCTATCAGATACCTTAGGTCTCTTATGTTCAAGATACTTTAGGATTCTGATAAACACATCGCTACTTAATATTTCAAATATATGTATCTCGACTCCTGAATATATTATAAATTCCTTTAAGGTAGGTGTTACATTGTATAGCTTCTTCTGTTTCCCATATGGTCGTGAACAGTATTTTAGAGAGTAGAGTGAATGAATGAGCAAATAAATAAATAAATAAATAAATAGATTTCCAATCACAGTATAAGTTACCTGAATTTGACCTGCTTGGAGGTATTGCTACACAATCAATTTGGAGAGACTGCATTCTCTTCACAATTGCACTCTGGCCTGGATACTCTTTCTATAATTAAGAGTATAAATACACACTTTAGTATAAACAGCAGAAAATAGTTCCAGAAAATTATTATAAGAAAAATGAAACTTTTTAGAAGGCAGAAATTTCACATAGCTCTTACAAGCAGTAAATATTTTTTAAAAAAATAAACGTTTTTCCCAAATAGCCAAAATAATCTTTAAAAAGAACAAAGTTGGAAGGCTCACAATTCCTGATTTCAAAACGCACTACAAAGCTACAGTAATCAAAATGGTATGGTACTGGCCTAAGGACAGAAATACAGACCAACGTAACATAATTGAGAACCCAGAAACAAACCCCTGCGTATATGGCCAATTGATTTTCAACAGTGGTGGCAAGACCATTCGATGGGGGAAAACTGGATAGCCACATGTAAAAGAATGAAGTTGGACTCTTATCTTTCAACTTATACAAAAATGGACAAAATCGATCAGAGGCCTAATCTTAAGAGCTAAAAATACTAGAAGAAAACATAGGTGAAGAGCTCCATGATATTGGATTTGACAATGATTTTAGATGTGACACCAAAAGCACAGACAACAAAATAAAAATAAACTGGACTACATCAAAATTAAAACCTGTGTATCAAAGGACACTATCAAGAGTGAAAAGACAACTCACAGGATAGGAAAAAAACATTTGCAAATCATATATATCTGATAAGGGATGAATATCCAGATTATATAAAGAATTCAACAAGAAAAAACTAACAATCCACTTCAAAAATGGGCAAAGGACTTGAAGAGACATTTCTCCAAAGAAGATACACAAATGGCCAATAAGCACATGAAAAGATGCTCAACATCATTAGTCATTAGGAAAATGCAAATCAAAACCACCATGAGATATATACCACTTCACACTCTTTAGAATGGCTATTATTAAAAACAAAACAAAACAAAACCCACAAAATGAAAAGTGTTGGTGAGAATGCAGAGAAATTGGAACCCTTGTGCATTACTGGTGGGAATATAAAATGATGCAGCTGTTATGGAAAATAGTTTGATGGTTCCTCAAAAAGGTAAGCATAGAATTATCACACAATTCAGCAATTCCACTCCTAGGTATATACCCAAAAGAATTTACCTGAAATATCCTGAAAGCAGGGACCCAAAAAGATACTTATATACCAATGTTCATAGAAGCATTATTCATTATAGATAAAAGGTGGAAACAACCCAAGTATCCATAAACAGATGAATGGATAAACAAAATGTGGTATATCCATGCAATGGAATATTATTCAGCCTTAAAAGGAATGAAATTCTGATACATGCTACAAAATGGATGAACCTTGAAAACATTATACTAAGTGAAATATGCTAGACACAAAAAGACAAATATTGTATGATCCCATGATGTCTATGAGGTACCTAGAATAGGCAAATTCATAGAGATAGAAAGTAAAATAGAGGTTACTAGGGGCTGGGGAGAGGGAGGAATGGGGAGTTGTTGTTTACTGGTTACAGAGTTTCTGTTTGGGATAATAAAAATGTTCTGGAAAACAGATACTGGTGATGGTTGCACATCATTGTAAATGTACTTAATGCCACTGAATTATACACTTAAAAATGCTTAAGATGGTAAATTTTATGTTATGTATAGTTTACCACAAAAAAGAAACTTTTTTTCCCCTGTAAAAGTAATAATACTCATTATAGAAAATATGGAAAATGTAAAGAATTATACTTAAAAAAAGAAACCTACACATAGCGCCTTCACTCAAAGGAAAAATTAACATTTTGGTATTTCTTTCAAGTTCTTTTTCCTAGTCATATTTGCATTTTGCTCTTAACAGAATGCCTGCTACATAGGTAGGTGGTCAAAAATTTTCAGTGAATAGGAGGGATTTGGGAGGAGAATGACAGAGGACATTAATTATGTACATACTTTGTAGCATGTTGTTTATTGCTTTTTACTTAACATGATAAGCATTTTTATATTATTGTAATTTTAGGAAAGCAATTTTTTATAGTTATTTTTATTACACAAAATATATAAATACAAATTCCTTTTAAATGACTCGAACTGTGCCGAACCACACAGAGCAACACTGTAATGTCATTCTTTCCAGCCCCTACTCTCTTCCATTCCCCAGAGGTAACCCTTATCCAGACTGTGTTGTGCATCCTTTTATTCTCTCTCTAGGCATTTGCATATATATTCTGAAAATAGACATATATATATATATAAACATCAAAAGGATCACTCTCTAAGTATTGTTTGGGACTTATTTTCCTAACAACAAGCGTTGAAGATCTTTCTATATCATTGTATGTTAGTTTCTACCTCTTTCTTTTAAATGGCTATATAGTATTCTGTAGTTTGGATGAATCATAATTTAGGGCATCTACTTATGGACATTTGGGTCATTTCCAATTTTTTACTCCTACAAACTAAGGTGCAAAGAACTCCTAGAGCTACATCTTTGAGCACACATGTGAGTAGGATCGATTACTAAGAGTAGAATTGCAGCAAAAGTTATGTGCTTTTAAAAGTTTGATAGATGCTTCACCTTCCAATAACCCTCACCAATTTAGACTCTTACCAATACTGCACGAAACTGCCTGTTATTCTGCATTTTCACCAACACTTGATATTACCAATCTTTCAAAAATGTTGTCAACCAAATGGATGAAAAATTATAACCAATTCATTTTGCTTTTCTCTGTCAGTGAGGCCAAGTATCTTCTCCCAAGTTTGTTAGCCAATGATATTTCTTCTTTCAATCATCTGTCTATATTCTTTGCCTATTTTTTCATTTGGGTTATTTTTATTTTTTGTTTTTGATTTTTAGGCACCCATTATATATTCTGGATGTTAATCATTTGTCAAACACAGTGAAAGTATTTTCTCCTTTTTAACTACTTTTTACTCTTCATGAGGCCAAATACAATAATCTTTTCCTTTGTCTTGTGAATTTTGTGTCTACATTGATCTGATTTTGGACTTTGTAACAGACATAGTGATGTGCCCCCCAAATTCCTCTTCAAGGAAGCATTTGCTGCTTGGTTGCAAGGAGTTCAGTCTGTAAACAGCCTCCAGCTGTCAGTTCCTTCAGAGTCTGCTCAGCTGCCGTGGGCTGCCTCTCTCAAGGCACTCCCCGCCAGGGGCAGCCCACACTCAGTGACTGAGCCAGGCAAGGGTGTAAAGGCCTGGCCATTTCAGACTGACCCGGGACAAGCCTGAGGGGCAACATTTGCTCAGAGCCCCACACCTGCCAGGATGCCAAAGCTCTTTGTCAGGCGTAACTGCTCTTTGGTTTCTTCCTCTGCTCATTCCTTGCGCCTCAATCTCCATCTCAGAGGCTCCTTCTGGAGAACCCCACCTGCAAAAAACTATTCTTTCCTATTATCTATTTTATTACCATTGTTCTATCACTAAAGTGTTTTAATTTCCTTCTTCAAAATTCTCTTGGCTATCTTTGTACATTGTTTTCATTCACATAAACTTAAGAATCAGCTTGTACAGTTCCGTAAACAATTTGGTTGGGATTTTAATTAGGATTGCACTCCATTTATGAATTATGTTGGGGAGAACTGACAGCTTTAGTATATTGAGTGTTTCCATCCATAACACATTCCACCACTTGTTTAGACTTCTTTTCCATCCTTCAGTAAAGTCTGCCACATTTGCCAGTCTATAGACATGTAATATTACCTCTTTGTATTTTAATTTACATTTGCTTGATTACTAGTTAAGGTTGTGCACTTTTTAAATGTTTATTGGCCATTTAAATATTCTTTTTTGTGAAATGTCCTTTTAAGGATTTCATTCATTTTTTAATTGGTCTATCTTTTTCTTTTTGATTTGTAAGATTTCTCTAGATGATATGCATTCAGGTCCTTTGTCAGTTAACGTGTGTGCCATACTATCTTCTCCCATTCTGTGGCTTGTCTTTCCATTCTCTTAATGGTTTCCTTTGATGAATATAAGTTCTTTAATTAATCAAATTTATCAATTTTTATCATTAAAGTTAATGTTTTTGTGTCTTATTGAAGAAACCATTCCCCATGCTGAGGTAATGAAGAAATTCTCCTATAATATTTCCCAATAGCTTAATAATTTTGTCTTTCGCATTTAAGTCAGTGATCAACCTGGAGTTGATTTTTTGTTTGCACAAGGTAGAGTCCAATTTCACATTTTTTCCCCATACTCAATTGTCTCAGTACCATTTATTGAAATGACCATCATTTCTTCACTGCTTTGTAGTGCCATCTCTGTCAAAACCAATATATGTGTGGATCTGTTTGAGGGCTCTCAATTCCATTCCAATTGCCTCTGTCTACCCTACACCACTACCACTCTGTCTTAATTAGTACAGCTTTATAATAATTCTTGACAAGAATCTGATAAGGCAAGACCTTCCTCACCGCTAGTCGTCGTCTTCTTCAAGAGTATCTTGGCAATTCTTGCTCTCTTCTTTACTTTCCATATGGATTTCAGAATTAGTTTGTCAAGTTCCATTGCCCCCACCCACTTGCCATAAAAAAAATAACTAAAAAGTTGGAATTTTGGTTGGGATTGCATTGATTCTACAGATCAACATGGGAAGAATTAACATCTTTACAATATTGCAACTTACAAATTACAAAGTAAGTGGTATATTTCTTCATTTATTAAGGTCTTGTTTTGTGTCTCTCAAAAGTTTATACTTTTCTCAACAGGTACTATACGTCTTTTGTTAAATTTATTCCTAGTAATTCATTTTTTTATGCTATTGTAAATGGTATCTTTTTTTTTTTTTTTTTGTGAGGGAGATTCGCCCTGAACTAACATCTGTGCCAATCCTCTTCTACTTTGCATGCGGGTTGCTGCCGTAGCATGGCTTGATGAGTGGTGTAGGTCCACGCCCAGGATCCGTACCTGCAAACCCCAGGGCCACCAAAGCAGAGCACATAAACCCAACCACTACACCACCAGGCCAGACACACAAATGGTATCTTTTAAAAAAATGTCACTTTCTAACTATTTGTGGCAGATACACAGGGATATAATTGATTTGTATACTGGTTTCAAAACCAGATAAATTCTATTACGGATTTAAAAAGATTCTTTTGAATTTTCTGTGTACACATGCTATCACCTGTGAATAATGAGTTTTATTTCTTCCTTTCCAATCCTATATCTCTTTGTTCTTTCTCTTACTCTACTGAAATAGTAAGGGCCTCCACTACCATTCTGAACAGAAATGGGGAAGGTGAGCATACTTGATTTTCACATTATCTCAAGGAAAAGTAGTTAACATTTCATTAATAACTATGACATTTGCTGTGGTTGTTTCAAAATACCTCATTATCAGGCAAGGAATTTCCATCTTTTCTAGGTTTAGAAAGTAATAACAATATTTTTTCTATCATGAATAAATATTGCATTTTATCTACTGCTTTTTCTGAATCTATTGAAAAGTTATAATTTTTTTCTCCTTTAACAAGATAATGTAATGAATTATAGTGGCAGATTTTCCTAAAGCTAAACTAGCTTTGCATTCCTGGAATAAACCCAATTTGATCACGATGTATTAACCTTTGCTGTCCATTGATGGATTCAGTTTGTTTATATTTAATTCAGGGCTTTTGAATCTATATTGTTAAGTGAGATTGGCTTGTAACGTATCTTCTTTTTCTGGTGTGGGAATCAAGGTTATGCTGGTCTCATCAAATGACTTTGGGAAGGTTCCCTCTTCTCTATTTGGACAAATTTGTATAAGATTGGGACAATCTCTTCATTGAATATTTGGTAGAAACTGCTGATGAAGTTTTCTGGTTCCAAGTAATTTTCTTTGTGGGAAGATTTTTGATCACTAATTCAATCTCTTTTAATGGTTACAGAAATATTCAAGTTTTCTATCTCTATTTGAGTCAGTTTTGCTGTTATACTTTTTTCTAGAAATGTGTCTATTTTGTCTAATTTTTAAAATTAGTAAAAAGCTGTTCATAATATCCTCTCAATATCATTTTGATGTCTGCAGAAGCCGCAGTAATGCCTCCTTATTCATTATTTCAGTTTTCACTCTGTTTTTCTTGATCAATCTTAGTCAATTTTATTAGCCGTTTTGATCCTCTATTACCTGTTTTCTATGTCACTAATTTATGCTCTTTTCCTCACTATTTACTGCTTTCTATTTTCTCTAGGTTTATTTTGCTATCTTCTTCAGATGAATGCTTGGCTAAATAACTTTTAGCCATATATACACACACACATATATGTATATATATATGTATGTACATATGATGATACTTTACTAGTAAGTACTCCTTTGCAAAGTGTATTCTGTAAGTTCTAATATGTAGTGTTTTTGTTAGCCTTCAGTTCTAAATATTTCCTAAATTCCATTGCGATTCCTTTCTTTGACCCAAGGGGTATTTAAAAGTATATTTCTTAACTTCTAACCGCATGAGATTTTCTAATTATCTTTTTTTGTGTGTGTGTATGAGGAAGATCAGCCCTGAGCTAACATCCATGCCAATCCTCTTCTTTTTGCTGAGGAAGACTGGCCCTGGACTAACATCTGTGCCCATCTTCCTCCACTTTATATGGGACGCCGCCACAGCATGGCCCGACAAGTGGTGCATCGCTGTGCGCCGAGGATCTGAACCCAGGCCATCAGCAGTGGAGCGCACGCACTTAACTGCTATGCCATGGGGCCGGCCCCTCTACTGATCTTTTCAAATTAATTTTTAGCGTAACTGAAATGTAGTCAGAGAACATTCTTTATGATTTATTATTACAATCCTTTTAAATTGGTTAAGACTTGTTTTATTTCCCAGTACATGGTTAATTTTTGAAAGTGTTCTGTAAGTTCTTGAAAAGCCTTTAAAAGTAGGTATTCTGCAGTTATTGGGTGGAGTATTTTATATATTTCAATTTGGTCAAATGTGTTATTCATATTCTTCAAATTTATATCCTTACTGATTTTTTTTGTCTATTTGTTCTATCAATGAAATAGAAATTTGTATTAAAATCTCCAACTATGGTTGTGGATTTGTCTGTTTCTCCTTTGAGTTCTGTCAGTTTTTGCTTTGTATATTTTGAGGCCATGTTATTAAGGCCATATACATATTTAAAGCTGTTGTTATCCTTCTGGTGCACTGAACCTTTTATCATTATGAAATACTCCCGATTGTTTGTACTAATGCTTTTCTGCCTCAGTGACTATCTTCCCTGCTGTCCTTTTGACTGCTTCCTTGGTTTGCATTGGATATCTCTCTTCTACAGTGTAGGTCCCTCAAAAGTGTGGCAATTCTTAATTGCCTGATTTATTTATTAATTTATTTTTGTATTTGAAATCTGTTTGCTTGTGTGTTTTGTTTTCATGATTATGGCAGTATGCTGCTGTAAGACTTATGACAGTAACTTGTATCCTGAGTCTGTACGTAGGGGAAGTCTTTGTTCCTTTTGGTTGGTTAGTTGGTAACTGGTCTTTAATACCAAACTCACTGCTTCAGCCCTAGGCAGATGCTGCTCCCACCTGTTGCTCAGCACAAGGGAAACGGGGGAGGAGCCAATTTTTATAACTGGCACAACCGTGTCTCCCAAAGGACTGTCCCTGCCGATGTCCAGGTGACCATACTGTTTCTTCTATACATTGACCCACGACGTGCTCCTCCAGGATCTTCTGCAGCATTATGTTCTGGGTTAGCACTTTTTTTTTTCTGTTATATGGTCTCAGCAGATATAATTCTGTTGTTGTCTTTCCATCTTTCATGAATTCCTCAAAATGACTGATCCATCTATGGTACTTTCCATTCTATTCAGTGATGTTGTGCTTTTGTTTTCATAGTGCTATGTATATTTTCTCTCGTTTCATTAATTTTGATGGATGAATGGGTCCAGCATGCCAACTTGATGATATGTGCATAAAGCTGTTAATTCTGTTTTATGCAGTTACCAAGGTAGCTTACCTCAAATCTCAGTGACAAATTATATTGCTTTGGTTTCCATGGTTGATAATATATATGCTTTGATATGTTAACATTTTGAGCATCTGTTATATAACCTACCTTTAAACTCTTCACATCATCTTCCACATTTTCTTCTAATTGATTTACATAAAAAGGCCTAAAGTTTTCTTCAATGCCTATATGAAAAAAACAATACTTTAAGTTTCTGAAGTATTTTCTAAAATAAAATTAAAATATTAGTAATCTATTATCTTTGAATTGTTTACCTTAATCGGTGAGCAAAGCAGTAAAATAAAAATATAAACACCAAATCACTAACTTGCACAAAGATACTAACAAAACTAATAATTAGGTAGACAGAACAAGGGTTAGGATAACACTGGAAACTAAGGGCTCCTGTCTAATAGCATGTAGTTTCTCTGGCTGTGGCACAAAACCCTCTCTATGTGAGTTAATCTCCAAGTGAACAAGGATGGATGGACTCCTTGTTTCCATCCCTCTGGCATCAGATTTATTATAGGATAGGATACTCAGAGTAAGGATTTGATGTAAAGAGTTAGAGCTGTTAGCCTTAAAAATAAAAGGCAACTTCCACTTCTGGTACTTTTCCTTATTTCTTCTGCTAAATACAACAAGAACCCCTAGATATTATATATAAAACAAACATAAGGAGACTCTGGGGGCTGGCCCCGTGGCTTAGCGGTTAAGTGCACGCGCTCCGCTACTGGCGGCCCGGGGTTCGGATCCCGGGCGCGCACCAACGCACTGCTTCTCGGCCATGCTGAGTCCAAGTCCCACATACAGCAACTAGAAGGATGTGCAACTATGACATACAACTATCTACTGGGGCTTGGGGTGGGGGGAAGGCGACTCTGAAAGGAGGAGAGATGACAGCTAGGGACTTTGGGATCTGAGGAAAGACACAGCAGTGAGATCACTGGGTTTTCTTTTTGCCTCATAGATGCGAGCTGAAGAAGCTGGCAACCCAACAAAAAAAGCCATCAAAAGCCTGCTCTTTCTAGTCAGAGGACTAAGAAAAGGGCAGCCTAGCAAGGTAGAAAACCTTTATTCAATAACCACTCTACTCCAGCCAAACCCCACAGAAAAAACTATGGTTCCACCCCTACCCCTACCAGCAGAGGCCCAGTGGGTAGCTGAGACTACCAACCTCGTGAGACAGTAACAGGGTGCTACAACACCACACCAGGGTGATGTCAGAGAAGGTCAAATAGGAAGCCAAGATTTTCCTTCCTGCCAGATGGTAATAAGCCCCTCCACTCTCGTGGTGTCAGTGGACTACAAGGGTAAACTAGACTTGTACTCTCACCTTGCAGAAATAAGACACCCCTCCCTGGAGTATCAGAGGAGGCCTAATGGGGAGTCAGGACTTTCACCTCCATTGTGGTGTCTATGGAGACCACCTGGGCTCCGCTGGAACTCCCATCCCTGACCAGTAGTAATGAGGACCCCCCACCTCAGGTGTCAACAGGGCTGAATGGGGAACCTGGACTTCTATCTCCACCTGGCATTAACAAGGTGGCAGCCACCCTTCCACTGCCAAAGCAGTGTCAGAAAATGCCAGCTAAAACAGAAGGCCTAACGAAGATCCAGTCTCATAGCATAGTAAGAAAATTTACAAGTTTTGATAGAAAAATCATTCATCATACTAACAACCAGGAAGATTTTAAACTGAATGAAAAAAGACAATCAATAGATGCCAACACCGAGATGACAGAAATGTCAGAATTACCTGTCAAAGACTGTTAAACGGCCATGATAAAAATGCTTCATTAATAAGAACAAGCTTGAAACAAATGAAAAAGTAGAAAGTCTCAGCAAAGAAACAGAAGACATAAAAGAAATTTCAATAAAACTTTAGAACTGAAAAATATGATAAAGCAAAACAAAAAGCCCAGTGGATGAGTTCAACAGCAGAATGGAGAAGATAGAGAAAAGTCAGTGAGCCAGAAGACAGAACAATAGCAATCATCCAATCTGATCAAGAGAGAGAAAATGAACTGAGAAAAAAATGTAGAGTCTCAGGGACCTGTGGACTATAACAAAAGATCTAGTATTTCTGTCATCAGCATCTTGGAAAGAAAGGAAAAAGAGAGTGGGGCTGAAAAAGTACTTTATGAAATAATAGCTGACAGCTTCCCAAATTTGGCAAGAGACATAAACCTTCAGATTCAAAAAGCTGAGCAAAACCCAAAGATCCATACCAAGACAAATAATAACTAAACCTCTAAAAAATAAAGACAAGGAAAAAATCTTGAAAGCAGCCAGATAAACTTTTACCTATAAGGAAAAAAACAATTAGAATGACAGAGGATTTCTCAACTGAAACCATAGAGCCAGAAGGAAGTCACATGATATTTTTTAAGTGCTGAAAGAAAAGAACTGTCAACCTAGAATCCTACACCCAGCAAAAATGTCCTTCAAGAATGAAAGGGAGATCAAGACATTCTCAAATGAAGGAAAACTAAGAGAATTTGTCCCCAGAAGACACACCCTAAAAGAATGGCTAAAGAAAGTCCCCTAAACAAAAAAGAAATGATAAAAGAAGACACCTTGCAATGTCAGGGAGGAAGAAAGAACACATGTGGTATAATAAAAAATTAATATTTGGTCTTTTCCCCAGGTTCAGTTGGATCACGGCAGGGAGCTCTGAAAATCCCTGGAATCTCTTAAGTGATAAGAGTGTGTTTTATATGCTAATGAGATGGCTCCTGGCCCAGGGGTGGGGAGGAGGAGGGCTAGACAGCTTCAAGATGGAGGCTGGTGCCAGGAAGACCTAGCCATGACTACAAGCTTGGAATTTTCAGCACCACTCCCTGACCTCTAGGGAGGGGAGGGGGACTGGAGATTGAGGGGACTGGAGAATGACCAATGATTTAATAAATCATGCCTACCTAATGAAGCCTCCATGAAAATCTCTAAACAATGGGGTTTTGATAACTTCAGAGTTGGTGAATACATTGAAGCACTGGGAGAGTGGCATGCCCAGAGAGGGCATGGAAGCTCTATGGCACATCCTCTCATACCTTGCTTTATGCACTCTTCCATTTGGCTGTTCCTGAGTTGTAGCCTTTATAATGAACCAGTAAAGTCAGTAAAATGTTTTCCTGAGTTCTGTGAGGGGGTATTGTGAGGACTCCTGAATTTGTATTTGGCTGGGAAGAAGTGCGGGTAGCCTGGGCACCCTATTTGCATCTGATTTCTGAAGTGGGGACAATCTTGCAGCAGGACTAAGCCCTTAAACCTGTAGAGTCTGAAGGTAACTCTGGGTAGTTAGCATCAGAATTTAACTGAATTCTAGGACACCCAGTTAGTGAGACATGTCAGAAGTAGTATTACAAAAAAGACACCACAACACAGTAATCAAAAAATATGAGTAAATATAATAGGCTTTCCTTCTCCTCTTGAGTTTTCTAAACAATGATTGACAGTTGAAGCAAAATTGTAACACTGTCTGATATATAATAAATGTATACAGAGGAAATATTTAAGGCAATTATATATAGGGAAAGGTAAAGGAAAGCAAAGGGAGTAAAGTTTTTATACTTCACTCAAACTGGTAAAATAATGACATAAGTAGACTATGATAAATTATGTACATATAATGTAACACCCAGAGCATCCATTAGAAAAACAATACTCAAAAATACCATAGATAAATCAAAGTGGAATTCTAAAAAACGTTCAAGAACCCACAAGAAGGCAGGAACAAGAAAAGAGAAATGAAAAACAGAAAGAACAAACAGAAACAAAATAAAATGGCAGATAGAATCCCTAACATATCAATAACTACATTAAATGTAAATAGTCTACAAACACCAATCAAAAGACAGAGATTAGCAGAAGAGATAAAAAAAACATGACCCAACTATATGCTGTCGCAAAAAACTCACTTTACATATAATGATTACAGACAGCTTAAAGTAAAAAGATGGGGAAAGATATATCATGTAAACATTAATAAAAAGAAAGCAGGGTGACTATATTAATATCCAATAAAGTGGACTTCAGAGCAAAGACGATCACTAGAGACAGAAAAGGACATTTATATAATGATTAAAGGATCAATCCACCAAGACATAGCAATTGTAAATGCATATGCACCAAACAAGAGAGATGCAAAATATATAAAGCAAAAGATGATAGAACTATAGGCAGAAATAGGCAAATTCACAATTATAGTTGAAGACTTAAACACCCCTCTCTCAACAACTGAAAGAACAACTTGACAGAAAATCAGCAAAGATATTGAAGAACTCAACAACACTCAACTAACAGGACGTAACTGAAATTTATAGAACACTCTACCCAACAACAGTAAAATACTCATTCCTTTCAAGTGCCCAGAGAACACATACCAAGACACATGATATCCTGGGCCATAAAATAAACCTCAACAAATTTGAAAAAATTGAAACATACAAAATGTGTTCTCTGACTATAATGAAATCAAGCCAGAAATCAATAAGAGAAAGATAACAGGAAAATCTCCAAACTCTTGGAAATTAAACAACACACTTCTAAATGATACATGGATAAAAGAGAAAGTCTCAACAAAAATTAAAAAATGCATTAAGTGAATGAAAATAAAAACACAATATATCAAAATTTGTAGGACACAACCACAGCAGTGCTGAGAAGGAAATTTATGGCATCAAACATACACATTAGAAAAGAGAAACGGTCTCAAATCAATAATCTAAGTTCCCACCTCAAGAATCCAGGAAAAAGAAGCAAAATAAACACAAAGCAAGAAAGAAAATAATAACGATAAGAGCAAGAATAAATGAAATAGAAAACATAAAAACAATAGAGAAAATCAATGAAACAAAAAGCTTGTTCTTTGAAAAGATCAATAAAATATACAAAGAAAAACAGAAGACACAAATTACCAATATCAGGAATGAAATGGGGGATATCACTAGAGACCCTGCAGATATCTAAAGGATAATAAGGGATACTACAAGCAACTTTAGACATATAAATTTGACAACTTAGATGAAATATACCATTTCCTCAAAAAATACAAACTACCACAACTACTCTGATATAAAACAGATCATCTGAATAGCCCTATAACTATTAAGGAAATTGACTTCAGAATTTAAAAACTCCAAAAAAAGAAATCTCCAGGCCCAGATGGTTTCATGGGAGAATTCTACCAAAATTTTAAAGAATTAACATTAATTATACACATTCTCTTCCAGAAAATAGAAGAGGAGGGAACAGTTCTCAATTTATTTTATGAAGCCATTATTGACTCTGACATCAAAACCAGAGTAAGATAATACAAAAAGCAGATAGCTATAGACCAATATCCTCATGAAAAAAAGTCTTAACAAAATATTAGCAAATGGAGTTCAGCAATATATAAAAAGAATTATACACCATGACCAAACAGGTTTTATTCCAGAGATGTGAGGTTGGTTCAGTATTCAAAAATCAATTGATGTAATCCACCGTATTAACAGGTTACAGAAGGAAAATCACAGGATCATATCAATCTATGCAGAAAAAGCACTGACAACATTCAACATCCATTCATGATAAAACTCAGAAAACCAGGAATAGGTATGGAGAACTTCCCCAAGAAGACAGAGTATCTACAAAATCCCCACAGCTAACACCATACTTCATGCTTTCCCCTAAGATTGAGAACAATGTGAAGATGTCTGCTCTCACTGCTCTTATTCAAGATAGTGCTAGAAGTTCTAGCTAGTACAATAAAGAAAAGGAAATAAAAGTCATACAGATCAGAAAGGAAGAAATAAAACTGTCCCCATTTGGAAATGACATGAAAATCTAAAAGTATCTTCAAAAAAACTCCTAGAACGAATAAGTGAGTTCAGCAAGGTCATAGGATACAAGATTAGCATACAAAAATCAACTGCATGTCTATATTCTAGCAATGACCAAATGGACGCCAAAATTAAAAATACAAACTACTCATAATTGCTCAAAAAAAGAGAAATACATATATAGGACTTGTATGCTGAAAACTACACAAGACTGATAAAAGAAATCAAAGAAGATCTAAATAAATGGAGAGACATACTGTGTTCATGGATTAGAAGACTCAATATAGTAAAGATGTCAATTCTCCCCAAATGGATATACAGATTTAATACAATTCCTATCAAAATCGCAGTAAGATTTTTTTGTAGATACGGACAAGATTTTTCTAAATTTTATATGAAAAGACAAACGAGTTAGAGTAAATAAAAGAATTTTGAAAATGAAGAAAAAAGTGGGAGGAATCAGTTTATGCAATTTCAAGACTTATTATATCACTACAGTAATTAAGACTGTGGGAGGCTGGCCCCGTGGCTTAGTGGTTAAGTGTGCGCGCTCCGCTACTGGCGGCCCGGGGTTCGGATCCCGGGTGTGCACCAATGCACCGCTCGTCTGGCCATGCTGAGGCAGCGTCCCACATACAGCAACTAGAAAAAAGTGCAACTATGACGTACAACTATCTACTGGGGCTTTGGGGAGAAAAAGGGAAAAAAAGGAGGAGGATTGGCAATAGATGTTAGCTCAGGGCCGGTCTTTCTCAGCAAAAAGAGGAGGATTGGCATGGATGTTATTAGCTCAGGGCTGATCTTCCTCACACACACACACACAAAATAAATAAATAAATAAACAAAAAATAAAAAAAGACTGTGGCTACTGGTGGAGGGACAGATGCATAGATGAATGGACCAGAAGAGAGAACTATGAAACAGACCCACACAAATATTCACAACTGATTTCTTTTTTTTTTTAAAGCTTTTGTTTTTGAGGAAGTTGTATATCCTAGTTGTAGGTCCTTCTAGTCCTTCTATGTGGGACACCACTTCAGCATGGCTTGATGAGCAGTGAGTAGGTCCAGGCCCAGGATCCAAACTGGCGAACCCCGGGCCGCCAAAGTGGAATGTGCAAACTTAACCGCTACACCACCAGGCCGGCCCCCACAGCTGATTTCTCACAAAGGAAAAAAACCACTTCAATGGAGGAAAGATAGCATTCCAATAAGTGGTGCTGCAGCAAGCAGACATTCATAGGCAAAAAAAACAAACTTCAACCTAAGTCGCACACCTTATACAAATATTAACTCAAAATGGATCATGCTATTTTTTCAATGAGATATAAACCAAATAACTGGCAAGGAAAACAACCAAATATTTAATTCTGTGCTGTTGTTCTTCTATTAGCAATAATTTTCCATGACTCTCATAGAAAAAAAAATGGACTTAGCACAGACTTAAATGTAAATCTATAAGAATTTTAGAACAAAACATAGAAGAAAATCTTTGGGATATAACCCTGACAGTGTTCTTAGACTTGACACCAAAAGTACAATTCATAAAGGGAAAAAATAATAAATTAGACATCGTCAAAATGAAAAACTTTTACTCTGTGAAAGACCCTGCTAAGAGGATGAACAAACAAGCTACAGATTGGGAGAAAATATTTGTAAACCACACATCCAACAAAGGAATAGTATATAGAATATATAAAGAACACTCAAAATTCAACAGTAAAAAAACAAGCAATCCAATCAGAAAATGGGCAAAAGACATAAAGTGACATTTCACCAAAGAAGATAAAACAGATGGCAACTAAGCACATGTGAAGATATTTAACATTAGCCATTAGACAAATGTAAATTAAAACCACAATGAGATATTACTACATACCTATCAGAATGACTAAAATAAAAAGTAGTGACAATACCAAATGTTGGTAAGGATGTAGAGAAACTGGATCATTCATACACTGCTGGTGGGAATGTAAAAAAGTACAGCCACTCTGGAAAACAGTTTGGCAGTTAAAAAAAAAAAAAAAAAACTATGCATGAAACTATCATACAATCTACCTATTTCACTCCTGATATTTATTCCAGAGAAATAAAGACTTATATTCACACAAACACCTGTAACGTGAATATTTACAGCAGCTTTATCCTAATAGCCCCAAACTGGAAACAAACCAGATGTCCTTCAGGGAGTGAATACACAAACTGTGGCACCTCCACACCATGGAATACTACTCAGCAATGAAAAGGAACAAACTGTTGATAAACACAACAACCTGGGTGAATCTCCAGAGAATTATGCTGAGTGGCAAAAAGCCAATCCCAAAAGATATTTTATGATTCTGTCTATGTAACATTGTCGAAATGACAAATGATAGAAATGAAGAACAGGGGCCGGCCCCGTGGCTTAGCGGTTAAGTGCGCGTGCTTTGCTACTAGCAGCCCGGGTTCGGATCCTGGGCGCGCACCAACGCACCGCTTGTCCGGCCATGCTGAGGCAGCGTCCCACATACAGCAACTAGAAGGATGTGCAACTGTGACATACAACTATCTACTGGAGCTTTGGGGAGAAAAAGGGGGAAAAAAAAGGAGGAAGATTGACAATAGATGTTAGCTTAAAGCTGGTCTTCCTCAGCAAAAAGAGGAGGATTGGCATGGATGTTAGCTCTGGGCTGATCTTCCTCACAAAAAAAAAAAAACACATACACACAAAAACAAAAAGAAATGAAGAACAGATTATTGGTTGCCAGAGGTGAAGGAGGGGGAGGGTTAGGGAGGGAAGTGGGTGTGGCTATAGGAGGGCAACAGGAGGGACCCTTGTGGTGATGGAAATGTTCTGTATCTGACTGTATCCCTGTCAGTATCCTGGTTGTGACATTGTGCTGTAGTGTGGCCTAGTTTGGGAAACTAAGTAAAGGGTACATGGGATGTCTCTGTGTTATTTTTTACAACTGCATGTAAATATACAATTATCTCAAAATAAGAACTTCAATTTCTTTCTTTTTTTTTTTTTTAAAGATTTTATTTATTTATTTTTTCCCCCCAAAGCCCCAGTAGATAGTTGTATGTCATAGCTGCACATCCTTCCAGTTGCTGTATGTGGGACTCAGCCCCAGGATGAACGGAGAAGTGGTGCCTCGGTGCGCACCCGGGATCCGAACCCGGGCCGCCAGCATCGGAGCGCGTGCACTTAACCACCAAGCCACGGGGCCGGCCCAGAACTTCAATTTCAAAAAAAGTGAAAAACACATGAGAGAAGAGAAGAAACCAAGCCCGAAGAAGATTTAGGCTGACTGAGCAAATAAGAAAACAGGAGGTTGTGCTAGGTGGGGCTTTAATTCTGTTTTCTCATGGCAGAAATATGTGGGCAAAATGCTTTGTAGGCTCCTCAGTGCCTTCCTACTATTTATCTTTTCCTCATCTGATTTTCTTCTTTCCTCTGCCCCTTCCCTCTGATTTTCTTCTTTCCTCTGCCTTTAGGATCTCAGCAAGATCCTAGGTAACATAGGGGGATGGGAAGAGGTGCAAGGATGTGACAAACATCCATGCCCCTTTCTTTCTCCCTCTACTCCAGGCCCAATCTGAATGACAACATACATTTCCACAGATGCCAGCTACACAAGAGGAAGGAAAAGAAATAAAAGGAACTAAGAAAAAGAGGGCCAGTGGAAGCAACCCAAGTGTCCATCAACAGATGAATGGATAAACAAAATGTGGTATAGACATATATGGAATACCACTCAGCAATAAAAACGAAGGAAATTCTGACACATGCTATAACATGGATGAAGCCTGAGGACATTATGCTAAGTGAAATAAGCCAGTCACAAAAGGACAAATACTGAATGATTCCTCTTATATGAGGTACCTAGAGGAGTCAACTTCATAGAGATGGAAAGTAGAATGGGGGTTTCCATGGGCTAGGGGAGGAGTGGGGAGTTGTTTAATGGGAACAGAGTTTCAGTTTGGGGAGATGAAAAGATTTTGGAGATGGATGGTAGTCATAGTTGCACAACAATATGAATGTACATAATGCCACTAAACTGTACACTGAAAAATGGATAAGATGACAAATTATGTGTTATATATATTTTAACACAATAAAAAAAAAAGGTAATTATGAAAAAAAAAGAAAGAAGAGGGCCTCATATGCCTTCATGCTTTTGGGAGGAATGGGATCTTTTCACTGAACAAAATGTTTGAAATCTAGAAAATCAGTTTGAAATTACAAGTAAAGCGGAACTTTGTTTTCTGAAGACTCAAAGCGGGTTCCTGACAACATCTTACTAGGAAAATTGCCATGTAGGATACATCCTACACAGTCATAAAAGATGCTCTTACCAACAAATGTTGGCCGAACTTCTGGATTCGCCTCCCAGCACTGCTTCATGAGGCTGATAATCTCCTTCGGGCAGTACTCAATGATGTCCTCCACATCCGGCCTGTTCCCAGATTTAATGCACATGATCAACTGCTGCTCACAGATAGCATCTATAATGCAAAGAGGAGCTTAAGTTGAGACTTTCTTTCAGGTCCAGTCCTCTCAGGCAGGGAGATTACAGAACTTGGACAATGCCGCTTATCTCTCTCTGCCTAGGGTATGCTTTTAGTATAGCTGCCTCGTCTGATGGGGCAAATGGCCCTTAGACCAGGAGTTGATGTGTTCCATTGCAGAGACAATCAAACAACATTTTAGATGAAAGACAGAATTCACAACAAAGCTGCCTCCTGGCAGAACAAATGGAATATGTGATAAAGCCAATGGCATACTCCAGATTTTAATACCAAGACAAATATGGTATAGCTCTTGCTTTTCAGGAGCTCAGTTTAATGAGTGACTTAAAATATAGAGTGATAACTGCTATTCAAGAAGTAAGTACAGGGGTTCTGGTAACAGTAGGTCAGAGAAGGCTTTGTTGAGTCCAGAAAAATAAGCAGGAGTTATCTAGGTAAAGAATGGGGAAGGAGGATTCAGAGAGGAAGATTCCAGGCTAGGAAAGCAAGATACGGATAGATTGGAAGTTCCAGAAATCATGATGCATCCTAGAAATTACAAGCAGTTCAGTATAACTGGACATATTGACTAAGGAAGGAGAGGTGAGGAATAAAGCCAGAAAGAGAAGCAAAAGGCAGATCTTAAAGGGCCTTGTTTTCCATACTGAAGAATTTGAACTTTATCCCAAAAGCCACAGGGAGTGTTGTAAGGATTTTAAACAGGTGAGTGAGATGGTCATATTTGCTTTTTAGGACGAACAGTTTGGCTGCAGAGTGAATGGTGAACTATATGAGGTACCCGAAGCAGAAATACAGTGAGTTTTAACTAAACAGAGGCCAGTGGGGATAGAGAGAAGTGGATGGATTCAAGATGTACCTTGAATCATACATACACCTTGAATTCATAGGTTTTGATGTCTGATTGGATGTGGGAGATGAGGGGCAAGGCTGAGTCTGGGATGACTAAGGTTCTGGTCAGGCTACTCGGTAGATGGATGGTTGATGACATTTTCTGAACAGAGAAGAGGAACAAAGCTGAGTGGGCTACAGGGAGAGCATTTAGAAGATGAAGTTGTTTGGGAGGATGTTGCTTTGGAGGTTCCTCTGTACATGTAATGGATCTGACTAACAGGTAAGTGGATATCCAGGCCAGGGCTAGAGATAAGAGATTTGAGAGGCACCGGCAAAAAGGTGATCGTCAAACCACAGGAGTGGATAATCACCCAAGAAGAATGGATAGGAAAATTTCCATTAGTTTAGGCACTTAAACTCAAGAATGACTACTTATGTATCTGTTCTCCTGCACGAACCATGTCTTTCTCATCTTTATATTCTCAATTCCAATTAAAGTACCCACAGTAAGTACTGAAAAGAAATAATTCTTGAATGAAGTAAGTGAATGCATGTAAGTATAATGTGTATGCCTTTTAGTATAAAACGGTAAGTCCTCATAAGTAGAAGCAAGCAAGCTTTCCTGCCCAGGAAGAATCCTGGAATTTTATGGCACTTCCCAAGCTTAGATACATTATCAAGGCTCCTACTTGTCCTGGGATCCCTGATTCCTAAACTGAGATTACTCATTCATTCAGAAAACTTACTGAGAACCTACTATGTTGCAGGCACCGCGTGTAGATGCTGGGGAAACAGCAGTGAGTAAACCAGATGTGTTCCCAGCCCTTGTGGAACTTACAGTCTGGTGAGTAAGATAGACATTAAATGCACAATCAATTATAAATCTTAACTGATTTCACTGAAGACCATTATTTCATTTAACAATTTTGATTAATACCCAAGTCCCACTCCTCTACAAATATCTTACTTTCATATGGCTCCTTATTTGCAAATATTGCCCAAAGTACTATGGCAAAGCTGTACACATCTGACTTCTCTGAGGGCTTTGCGTTGACATCGTTCAGATGCTCAGGGGCCATGTAGCAGAGGGTGCCGCCATTTTTCTTAGAGGTCCTGTTCACTTTCCTCCGCTCATTGTGTTCCTCTTTAGTCAGTTTACTCCACGTCTTAAAGGAAGCAACGCCAAGATCAGCTATCTGCAGAAGAGAGCAAACCAATGGGCTTGTTCTGTGAAGGCTATAAGCAAATCAGATTTCACTTTCAATTTTGGGCCTATCCAATAGACACGAGGTATAGTGAATCTTCCAGAAATGGCTGCACTAGATAGGTTTAAAACAGCTACTTCTGAACAGACTTATAGAAACTTTGTGTTTCCACAGGCATCTGGAAAATCTCCCCTAAGAAATGTCCATGTGAAATTCTGGTATCTCAGTTCTTATGCAATAAAACCAGGGCATTTGCTGGGGGGTGGGGGAAAGAGAAGAAAAGCAGAAGACACTGATGACATGAACAACAACAAAACATGTTTATCCTAATTCCTCCTTTACTCTGCATGTATTTTTTAATTACTTCTGAGGCTGGGGAAAAACTGTATTTTCTTTGCATCAGATTTGTGTAGCGGATGCTGACTGGGTACTGCACCTTTTCTCTTCCCAAGCGGTGTCCAGAAGCCCATGGCTGCGAATCTCTAAGGACTCCAAAGACACACTGAGGACAGGACTGTGCAGTTACTTGCTTTGAGTTGGTAGCCTGAAGCTAAGAGAAGATGGGATGGGGAGAAGGAGAAAAACCAACAAAAAAGCAGAGAGAAAAACACCAAGGTCAGATACAGAACAAAGAGAGAAGTGGCAGGGCAAAATGACAGAACAATACAGTTAAGAAGAAATCAAAGGGGACAGTTGCACTTTTGCCTCTAGGAATCCAAGCATTTGGGGATGAATGATTCTAACCCAGAACATAAGAGATAAGTTATTAATGTAACCTGCCTTTAAAGAATAGGAATACAAATCTGCCCGAGATGAGAACAAAGCGTCAGAAGCAGAATCCTCTAGTGGAGGGATGCCTGCGTAAGCAGTTCTTGAGTGCGAGCCCCAAATGCCACTTCCCCTTTCAGATGCTTGTGCTTGAATTCCTGCTGCCAAAGCCACTTCGATATTATGCTCCGCCTAGTTAAATCTTGCTCGAGTGAACACAAGAAAAATTCTGTCCCCTTGTTCCCTTTACTACAACGGAGAGGTTTCAAAAGGAAACTGATAAAAAAATGAATATGAAAGTAAATGAATAAATAAAAAATATAAACTCCATCAAGTCTGTATCTTTCTTTTCAATCCTTGAGAGAGCCTTTCAGCACCACTACCACCAGTTATAAGCTGAGCTAGGTCTTCCTTGACCCTGTACCATGTATAAAAATGGGTTTACAGTGGAGAATTAAAACTAAAATTACCCCCATCTTCTAGAAACCTTTAGATTATGGTTTACCTTAATGTGAAAGTCATCATCAACGAGGATATTTTCAGGCTTCAGGTCCTTGTGTATTACACCTTCTCCATGTAAGTAGCACATTCCTTCAATGGTCTCCATAATTATCCTTCCTTTCACAGAAAGAGGGATACTGATCTAAAATAAGCGATATTAAGTATATGAAATGAAAAGGGAATCAACCACACCAAAGTAACTGTTTCATTCAAGAATAGTGGGGTCTGAACTGAGGTTACAGTTACCAGGTTTCCTTCCATCATGCTCTGCAACGCTGCTGTTATTGTAAAACAAACCCTCTTTTTAGAAAGATTTCATCCCAGGTGCTAAGGGTATTACTGTTGTGCTTTGTCAGTGTAAAAATAAAACTTCTATGCCAATATAGTAATATATAAAAATGCTATAAAATTAAGCTCCTTGAGAACAAAACCTTAGAGTTATTATTATTATTTAGGATGTATCCTTACTACCGAGCATGGTGCCTGGAACATTTGTTGAAGTAATGGATAAATAAATATACAAAAAAACACAAATATGCTCTATAGTATACTAATGTGATACGCTACTATATATTAAATATGTGAACAATATTCATGGAAATATGTGTATGAAATGACGTTAAGAGAAAAAAGAATACAAGGAAATGCACTCTGATTACAAACATGGAAAAGTTAATCTATGAGATAACACGGTGTTAAAACAATGCTGAAGTGAATTTCGTATCTGTTTGGTGATTTAGTATCAGATACTTCAGGTCTTTGTAAAGTCTCAAGTCACTCTTACTTACAATGGTATTCTAGCTGTATGAACATCAATGCTAATACAGACGATACCAGTTTCTATTAGAGTGGTGAAACATTAGTTTTGCTTAACATTTAAAAGACAATAACAAACTGTGTGTGTGTAAGTCTCTAGTTTACAAACAGGCTGTTTCCTAAATATTTATGTGTATGCTAATTGTTGGTAAACAGAAAAAAAAATTTAAATGATGGAAGTCAGATTCCCAAGTCAACTCCCAAACCATATTTAACTCATGATGCAGCTGAACTACGCTATTAATAGCCTGATCACCACCATACAAAAAATTGCAGAAAAGATTTTCCTTTCTTCCTTGGTATACCTTTGGACTTAGGAAAAAGTTCTGAGCAAGCAAAGTGGATTCCCTTCTCATCCCTCTTTCTGCTTTGCTCCCTCATGTCCTCCTGACTTTATTCTTGAGCCTCAACTGATGCACTCCTCATCTTTGCATGATCCTGCAGAATGCCTCTTGTCCCAAATGACTTATCTCCCAATCAAAATGCCTACTGACTTCATGTGGCTGATCTTACCTAGTTTTGGGGAGAAGAGCAATCTGATCAAATTACAATACAACAGATATAAGTGATTATCTTTTATCCTTCCTATAGGTATTTGTGAGAGATGTCTGTGATTTAGAAGAATTGACATAGCTTTGGGCAGTTGGGTTGGGGGAGAAGAAGGGGAAAAGGGGGAATATTTGCCATAAAGGCAGTCATATCCCACCACTCCTACATGCAGTCTATGCTTTGGCTAAACCCAGCTATTTGCAGTTTCCCAAATTTGGCATACTCTCGTTCCTTTGCACGGGCCATTCTCTCTGCCTGGAACCTTATTCCCTAATTCTCTGCTTCAAAACCTCCACTTGCCCTTCAGACTTTGGCTCAAGCATCCTCCTTCTGGAATCCCTTCCTCTCTATCCCATGCTGGGGTGAGTGCCTCTCCTCTGTGTTCCCACAGCACACTGTGAGGCTGTCTATGGAACACCCTTATACCACCCCATTCACTTACTTATCTGGCCCCCATTACCTGTCTGGGTCAAATCTGCTATTGCTCCCTCAGCAACCAGCACAAGGCCTTGCTCTCAATAGGTACCTAAACTTTTCAAAAATGCTTTAAAGTTATTTGGTTTTGGTAAACAATTTTTATTTTCCTGTTTTAAGTCTTCTTTATCCAGTGTTGTTGCCTCTAATATTCTATACTTAACCTATAAATTTCTTAAATGATATCAAAGTGCAATCTTTAATATTCCATCTTCTCATACAGTCATCTATTGTGTACATCCTTTTTTCCATCAGTCAACATTTAACTATTATCCATTACGCATATACCCCATGTCAGACCATGTGCTCCGTGAAGACAGTGCCTATCTCTGAATTGTGGATCTTAGAATGTCTGACAAAAGCCAACTACAATACTAAGACATAGAGGGGACCCTCCAAGTGAGGGACACAGACACCTGTCTGCAGGGATTGAGAGGGGGCAAGAACACCTTCTGGAAAGTCAAGGGAGATTTAATGAGGGATGGACTTCAGAAAATCCAAAATATTTAGCAATTCACTTAGGGATATTTCACACCAACAAGCTACAGAAGAACACCATGATGATAACCACAACAGACAACCAGCACCCAAGTCGCTGTGCCTGGAGATGGCACGGAAAAGCTCTCTCTACCTCAGCTTTCAGCACACGCATCAGGTTGCCCTTCTCCATGTACTCCATCACGAGAGAGTAGTTTCCTTCTTCTATGATGATGCCCAGGAGCTTCACCACCCGGTTATGTCTCAGCCTGTGCATCATCTTGCCCTCCTCAAGGAGGGACTCGTTGTACCTGTGGAAGGGACAGGTGCTGTTAAGATGGGCAGAGTTAGCCCCTTTTCCCTTTGTGCTCCCCAAAAACACAGGATACACCTTCAACACGTCACATCACATGCTTTTGTCATTATTTGTGCACGTACTGATCTCTTCCAGGCACACACTACAAGCTTTAGAAGGCAGAGTAGTTTCTCGTTCATCTTTATATTCCTCCTTCCCAGTGACTGGAAGTGAGTGATCAAGAAATGTTAAATCGATGAATGAATGAACGAAAAGTAAATGAACAGCAGCAATGAAACGCAGCCAGAAAAAAGGGTTGTGGTGGACAATATAACAAAAAATGCAGCCTCTCTCTACAACCACTCTGGCAAGAGAGAGAGAAGTAATCCACTCCACCAATTGCTTTAGGGAGAGGGTTCCTGGAATCTCTAAATAATGAACCACATTTTTTTTCCTCCATACTTAGGGCTGGTTCTCACCAAAAATGTCAAGTAAATAAGTCTATCTTCACTGATGCCTTCCATTTTCTTTTCATTGCCTCCCTCATCACTGTCTATCTCCTTCCCTTTCTCTATTTCCTTCCCTTCATTTCTCTTCCATTATTTACTAGCTGTGAGCTCTTCACTAACCAACCTCAGAATCCTCATCAGCAGTGGAGGGATAATAATAACCACTTTGCAGGGTTATTTGACATGAAGCCCGTGTGCTGACACTTACATCATGGTCTGTCTCATCCTAGAGCCTGTGCCACTCTTATCCACGGCCTCGTCCTGCCCCTCTGCGATAACTGCCTCCCACGGCCAGCCCGTAATCTGGCCCCCCACCTCTGCCCCCACTCACTCGGTGCGCTTGGGCCCTGTGTACACCTTTTTCAGTATGACGAGTCCATGGGACCTGTGCAAACACAAAGACACCTTTCCGAAGCCCCCACTGTCTAGATACTCCTTCTCCAGGAAGTCACTAGATTTCATCTTAATGTCATCCAAGGACATGTCTGGTTTCCTTCTGAATGCTCAGAATGCCCAAAAATACACCACTTTTTTTTCCCTCGGAGCTGTGCCCTGTAAAGAAAACAAGAGGATATCTCAGTGCAAAAGAGTCATTATTCAAAAAACTTACATAAAGTTCCACCATATGCTTGGTGTGCCTTTACTTTCCGAGGAAAGATTTATAATCTCTAAGATGAACTGTTTTTCATATTGCCAAGAATCACAGAACACCACAAGTTTTATTCCTTAGACTTTCATTTCTGGCAACACAGAGGACAAAAGAGTTTTAAAAACCCTCTGGCTACAAAGGACCTACACAATCATGTCACTTAACAATAGGGATACGTTCTGAGAAACACGTTGTTAGGCGTCGTTGTGTGAACATCATGGAGTGTACTTACACAAACCTAGATGGTACAGCCTACTGCACACCTGGGCTATGTGGTACTAATCTTATGGGACCACCATCATATATGCGGTCCGTCACTGACCGAAATGTTGTGATGTGGCGCATGACTGTATATGTTGGACAACATAGTGCAAACATCCATTCAATTGCATAGCTAGGCTCAGTCTAAAGGAAAATAACTCCAGGGACTGAAACAGACAGGGTACTAGCCATGAGGCAGCAACCACAGGGTGGCTGCTATGAACGAATGTTTGTGTCCAACCCAAGACTCGTATGTTGAAGCTCTAACTCCAATGTGGTGTTAGGAGGTAGGGCCTTTAGGAGGCAATTAGGTCATGAAGGTGGAGACCTCAGCAACGAGATTAGTTATAAAAGACATGATAGAACTTTCTCTCTCTCTCTCTCTCTCCACTATGTGAGGAACAATGAGAGGATGGCCACCTGCAAACCAGGAAGCGGGCCCTCACCAGGCACTGGATCTGCCGGGGCCTTGATCTTGGAACTCCAGTCTACAGACTGTGAGAAATAAATGTCCATTGTTTAAGCCACCCCATCTATGGTAATTTGTTATAGCAGCCAAACTGACTAAGACAGTGGCCCTGAAGGGCACTGCCAACCTCGACATCCAAAGGTCCAGGTTTAAAACCCAGCCAAGGACAGGAGTTGAGGTCAGGGCATGCAAGAAAAGAGGGCTGGAACAAAGACTCTTCCGTTAAGATGGCACTCCTCAATCTGTTACCCTACCCCTCAACTAAAGGATGGACTAGAAGAAAAGCAGTCCACTAACAAAGAAACTTGATGGTCTTAGACCGGGCATGGGGTATAAAAAGAAGTCTCCATGTGAATTCATAACCTTGGGCCTGTCTTCAAATAGATCTGGGCTTTGAATTTACACTCCTCTTATGGCCAGGATCCCCCAAACTAAGAACTTTTATATAGAAAGTGGTCACAGGCTGATGACATCCGTGGGTTACAAGGCTAAAGCAAACAAAACACTTTCAAGCCAGACCAGACAGGATTCCCACAAATAGAGCCTAACTTAACACGAGCTCCCTTTCCAAAATTATAAAACACAAAAGAAAAAGTTCACCATGAGCCAGATCCAGCAGATACAACAAAAAGCAGCATCAGCCACCAAAGAACTTCAGGTAATTAAATAACTGAATACCCTTAGAAAATAAACATATTTAAAGTAATTATGAACAAAAGAAGAAATCTGAAGAATATAAAAAGAAAAATGCACTATCTAAAAATAATACGAAGATGTGAAAAGGATGAGAATTTGGAGAATTTGTACATCAGTGCTATGAAGTATATAAGGTACACAATCTCAAAACAGAACTATTTTCCTCATCCTTCTTCCCTTCTTTCCTTCCATTCATTTTCCCCAAACTGAAATGAAGAATAAAAATCCCGAGGGACCACAATGAAATACCACCACACACCCACCAGAACATCCAAAATTAAAAAGGCTGATCCCACTAAATACCTAAAGACATGAAGCAACTGGAATTCTCATGCACTGGTGGTGGGAGTGTAAAATGGTATAATCACTTTGACAAAAGTTCTGGCAGTTTCTTATAAAACTAAACATACATCTACACTATGATCAAGCAGTTCTAATCCCAAGAGAAATGAATATACATGTCCCAAAAGACTTGTACAATGTTCATAGAAGCTTTATTCATGACAGCCCCAAACTGGAAACAGTTATCCATCAATAGGAGAATGGGATAAAACTGTGCTATATTCATACAGTGGAATACTACTCAGCAATAAAAAGCAATGAACTACTAATACACACGACAAAGTGGGTGAGTCACAAAAACATTATGCTGAGTAAAAGAAGCGTTCTACAAAAGAATACATACTGTATGATTCCATTTATAAGAAGTTCTAGAACAAATTAATCTATGTTGGAAAAGGAACACTGGTTGCCCAGGGACAGGGTCAGGATTGAGTGGGATGGGGCAGGAGGGAACTCGCTGTAGTGATCATGATGTTCTATCAGCTCAGTGGAGGTTAGGGTTACACAGGCATAAGCATCTGTCAATACTCAGCAAATCTATTCTTAAGAATTACAGGTAAATTTTACATCAAAAGAAAAATAAGTAAACATATTGAACTCTAGTTAGTAGTATACATGCTGAAATATTTAGAAGAAAGTGTACTGGTATCTGGAATTTACTTTGCAGATAGAATGGTGGATGGAGAGAGGGATAAGGAGATGAACAGTTATGTGATAAAGCAAGCAGTGTAAAATGATATAGATGGTAGATATACGAGAGTTCACTGTAAAATCTTTTTAATTTTTAGGTTTTTTTTGCTTCTACATTTTTATTGTAGAAGGGTGTAGAGGGTATTATATACTCCTCACCCAGTTTCTCCTAATAGTACATTTGTCAAAACTGAGAAACCAACAATGGTACGTTACTATTAACTAAACTCTCTCCTTTTTTAAATTTTTCTACTAATGTCCTTTTTCTGTTCCAAGATCCAGTCCAGGATACCACATTGCATTATTTATTTGCGTGGACCCCCTTCACCCATTTCTCCCACGCCCCACTCTCTGTTGCTGGCAACCACCACCAATCTGTTCGCTGTATCTATGAGCTTCCACATATAAGGGAGATCATATGGTATTTGTCTTTATCTGACTTATTTTACTTAGCATAATGCCCTTGTGGTCCATCCACCCATTGTTGCAAATGGCAAGACTTCATTATTTCTTATGGCTGAATAGTATTGTATCGTGTATATATTCCACAATTTCTTTATTCATTCATCCATTGATGGACACTTAGGTTGTCTCCATATCTTGGCTATTGTAAATAGTGCTGCATATATCTTTTCAAGTTAGAGTTTTCATTTTCTTGGCTAAATACCCAGAAGTGGAATTGCTGGATCATATGGTAGTTCTGCTTTTAATTTTTTGAGGAGCCTCCATACTGTTTCTACAGTGGCTGCACCAATTCACATTCCCATCAACAAGGCAGAGTTCCCTTTTCTCTACATCCTCACCAAGACTTGTTATTTCTCGTCTTTTTGATAACAGCCATTCCAACAGGCGTGAGGTGAGATCTCATGTGGTTTTGATTTGCATTTCCCTTATGATTAGTGATATCAAGCATCTTTTCATGTACCTGTTGTCCATCTGTATGTCTTCTTTGGAAAAATGCCTATTCAGATACTCTGCCCATTTTTTAATGATTGTTTTTTTTTTTGTTATTGAGCTCTTTATATATTTTGGATATATATATCTGACCCCTTATCAGATATGATTTGCAAATATTTTCTCCCATTCAGTAGGCTGCCTTTTTTATTTTGGGGATGGTTTCCTTTGCTGTGCAGAAGCCTTTTAGTTTGATATAGTCCCACTTGTTTATTTTTGCTTTTGCTATCAGATTCAAAAAATCATTGCTGAGACTTATGTCAAGAAGCTTACCACCTGTGTTTCCTTCAAGGAGTTTTATGGTTTTGAGGTCTTATGTTAAGTCTTTAATCCATTTTGAGTTAATTTTTGTGTATGGTGTAAGGTAGTGGTCCAGTTTCCTTATTTTGCACGTGGTTGTCCAATTTTTCCAACATCATCTATCAAAGACACTGTCCTTTTCCCATGGTATATTCTTGGCTCCTTTGTCATGAATTAATGACCATATATGCATGGGTTTACTTCTGGGCTCTCTATTCTGTTCCATTGATCTGTCTGTTTTTATGCCAATACCATACTGTTTTAATTACTGTAGCTTTGTAATAGAGTTTGAAATCAAGGAGTGTGATGCCTCCAGCTTTGTTCTTCTTTGTCAAGATTGCTTTGGCTATTCAGGGTCTTTTGTAGTTCCATATAAATTTTGGGATTGTCTGTTCTATTTCTGTGAAAAATGCCATTGCAATTTTGACAGGGATTGTATTGAATCTGTAGATTGCCTTGGGCAGTATGGACATTTGGACATTTTAACAATATTAATTGTTCCAATCCATGAGCACAGAATGGATTATTTTCCATTTATTTGTGCCTTCTTCAATTTCTTTCCTTAATATTATGTAGTTTTCAGTATACAGATATTTAACCGTGGTTAAATTTATTTCTAGGTATTTTATTCTTTTTGAGGCAATTGTAAATGGGACTTTTTCCTTAATTTTTCTTGCTGATAGTTCATTATTAGTGTATAAAAACACAGCAGACTTTTGTGTATTGATTTTGCATCATGTAACATTACTGAATTTATTAGTTCTAACAGTCTTTTGATGGAGTCTTTAGGATTTTCTATGTATAATATCATGTCTTCTAAAATAGTAACAGTTTTACTTCTTCCCTTTGAATCTGGGTTCCTTTTATTTCTTTTTCTTGCCTAATTGCTCTAGCTAGGACTTCTAATACTAACATTGAATAAAAGTGGCAAGGGTGGGCATCCTTGCCTTGTTCCTGATGTAACATCTTTTTAACTTTGCACTTTGAAATTTTTCATAATAAAATGTTGAGGAGGAAGGAGTTAAAAAAAAAAGTACCTGGAGGGATTTCTTAAAATTCCTAGGCTGACAGCAGTCTTATGCAGTGGCCTGCTGCAGTCTGGCTCAGGTAACCAATCTTCTACACCTTGTACAAAGGCTGTGGGTGGGCCCTGGCACCCCAAAAAAGCTCACATATCAGCACAGTAGACAAGGCTATGGGCCATCTTCCTGTAACACAAGACACTGCCACACAGGAAGTACCCTCTAGGAAGAAACATGTCTGTGAGGCAGAGACGGGGGGGCGGCTACACAGATAAAGGGCATGAAGATTGAGGGGATGGGAGTGAGGCAGGCATCAAAGGTGAGGTGGCAGAAGCCATAATGATGGTGGAAAGAGCCAGGACTTTCTCTTTTATGAACTTCAGCTCTACAATTTATTAGCCCTGTGACTTGGGTAACTTACATAAGCCTCAATTTCCTCATTTGCAAAACTGCCTCATAGGACTGGTAAAAATTATATAAGACAAAATATGCGAAAACACATTTGTTGTCTGCTTTATGGTTCTGGCTATGGTTGGCCCAGCAGCCCACATTTATCTCGTTACACTGGGCTTTGAGAATGCCAATACACAGCTAGGATCACTCTGCTCAGCAATTCTCTACTGACCAATCCTTGCGAGAATGAGGGGGTTTGAGGGAGACAGAGTAATATGCGCCACTCTCCCCTGCAACCCTCTTAGGGCACTTTCTTCTCCTGGCTAGGTGCTGCTCATCCTTCAGGTCTCAGCGAAATGTCATTTCCTCAGTCTTCCATCCTAAATTTTCTCATAAGACACTTTCACAGTACCCTGTACTTCTCCCTTGAAACAGTTAAGACAGCTCTAATTCAAGAATTGTTTCTAATTAAGCTCACAGAAGGCAGGAAACTGTCTTGCACACTGTCTACAGTACCTAGCACAGAACCTGACATATAGCAGTTGATCATTAAATGGACAATTATTTTAAAATAAGGACTATTTAATTGCCCAAAAATAAAGCATACAGTTAAATGAATTACAGCACATTCATAAGATGGAATATTATATAGCCATTCAAAATTGTAGTCTGTAAAAATGATATATATATATATATATCATATATATCCATATAGTCATCTGCATGTGTGTGTGTGTATATAGACACACACACACATAGATGGCTAGATATACATATAGATCTATGAACAGAAAAAGAGAGACACCAAAATGTTAGCAAGGATTATATCTGGATGGTAGGGTGATTTTTACTTTCTTCTTTACACTTTTATTACATTTTCCAAATTTTCTAAAATGAATGCAAATTACATCTATAATAAAAACTATCTTCTAAAGGGAATAATTCCTTCATGCAGTAGTTCTTTATTCTCAGGAATTGAATCAGAGATGCTGATAATGTACAGGATGTTCCCAGTGACATTACATAGAACCACAAAAGCAGATAAAACAATTTACACATACAGAGGTGAGACCAAGTTATGACCCACCCACATTCTGAAATATATATAGCAGTTTTCAAAAATGATGTTGAATATGAATGTTTAATAACATAAAAAAAAACACTCACAAAGAAACAGGAAGAAATTATAACTATGCCCGCCAGTTTGGGTACAGGATTTCAGTTTTATAAGGAGTTCTATTTGTATCTCTCCTTCAGCCCAGGTCTTCTCTCCTCAAATTTGCCGAGACCAACCAGGATTTGCAGTGCATCCTGCCAGCATGATGGCTCTCAGAGAAAGGAGGTCTCCAGGTGGGCTGCTGCGCATTGTGAGCTTGGCTCTGGACTCATCAGTTCTCCTTACAGTCTTGCAGTTCGCTGGTTTAGTCTGATCTTATTTAATCTTTTTTTTTCTTTTTGGTGAGGAAGACTCGCCCCAAGCTAACATCTCTTGCCAATCTTCCTCTTTTTTTGCGTGAAGACTAGCCCTGAGCTAACATCTGTGCCAGTCTTCCTCTATTTTGTACACGGGTCGCTGCCACAGCATGGCAGATGAGTGGTGTAGGTCTGTGCCTGGGATCCGAACCTGCGAACCCAGGCCACCAAAGCAGAGTGCTCCTAACTTAACTGGCCCCTGATCTTATTTAATCTTATGCATGGTTTCCCATGATTCTTTTTGTTTTTACTGTTTGCCCTCCCCTTTTCCCCATGAAAAATTCAACTTCGCAAGCACTGAATATCTTAGGAAGGCCTTATGAGTGGTTTAGATACCCAAGAGTCACTAAAAAAAAAGCGTAGGCAGGTAGAAAACCACATCATAAAGCCATATTACAGAGTAATTAACGAAACACACTGGCCTATTATATCATGTTATGATACCTAATTTCAACTAATAATGTAATTGTGTCCATTTTAATGGGATTTCTTAATGTTTTGCATAAATGGATATTAATTCAGGGACTCAGAGAAGCAAATTTTTTTCCACTAAAATTAACTGAAAATTCCAAGAAATTTCACAAACAAATTACTTTCTAAGGCAGGATAAATCTATATATCAAAATATTTATATCAATTTTGTTTGTCAATTATACATCAATAAAACTGGTGAAAAATATAAATAAATAATAATTAATACCAAAAAGCCAGACAGAATTAATTTATGCTACTAACAGTCAGGACAGCAGTTAGTTACGTGGGAGACAGGAGGCAGTGAAGGATAGGAGGCTTCAGGAGTGATGGCAATGTTCTATTTCTTGACCTGAGTAACGTTCACTTTGTGATACTTCATAGAGCTATACAGTTATGATTTGTGCACTTTTCTGTACATGTCATACTTCAATAAAAAAGTTTTAAAAAAAATATTCATAGTTACCTTTCAGTGGTAGAGGACTGTTTTTTCAATTTTTCAATGATGACCACATATAATGAGTCTGACAGAAAATGTTGGTTGCCTACTTTCATTACCCCCCTTCTTACCTGCTAACAGAATTCTGATTTTACTCAGGTATCCAACATGGACTTCTCTAAGGTTCTCTGATTATTGCAGCTTGATGCTTTGCCCCAGATAAACAAGAGGTCTCAGCAAGCAAGAGCCAAATGATGAGCAACAGACTAGACTGAAAGAGTTTAACCAAGCATTATCATGTACACTGGCACATGATGAGCCCATGAAGTTTTATTATCATCATTCCAATTTACAAATAAAGAAACTAAAATTTAGAATTAAATGATTCATCTAAAATGGCAGATCCTGGAACTGAACCTTCACCTCTTCACGCAAACTTCCACTACTGATTCACTAACACTTGCTACTTCTCTAGATAGCAAACGATAAATCTGTCTTTGTTAAAATCAGATGCAAAGACCTAATCTTACAGCCTTGCTCACCTACAGTCAATGAGTTACGCTACGTTCAGAAACATGGGGAATGTACAAACTAAATTTTAAAAACATACGGTTCAAAATGAATATTCTACAGGTTAGTACACAATCATTTTTGCAAGAGTATAATATCCGACCAAAGCATGGGACACTATTTTCAAACTCCCAGATCATATTGGTGGTATTAACATGTTATGGATTAATAAGCACCAAATAATAGTTTGTAATTTTGGAAGTTGATATTTTAGGAATTTTTATTAATTCTCAACATTCACAATCCTGAAAGTACAACATATCTCTGGTCCTCAATATAGTGCAGAGGAAAACGAAAATTATAGTTAAACGTTATTGCTGTTTTATCAGTAATAATAACGATGATACACCCCAAATTTTAAGTAAGTTTAATCTTTGCTTTGTGTTTAGATGAGCTGTGGTTTTCCACATTTATAATTGACCACAATTTCCTCCTTACTCTTGCATCTACCTGGTGGTTACAAAATGCAAATCAAATCACTCTACATCCCAAAGTTCACTCTGTGCCTTGGTTTCTTCCAGTGTAAATCAGGGAAGAATTAAAGGTGGTCTAAAGACCAAAGGACTTCTGCAAAGTTAGTTGATTATTATAGCCTCAGACTCTGTATAAGATAAACAAGAGCTCTGAGCAAAGAAGAGCCAAATGATCAGCAAGACACAAAGAAACGAACAACACCCCCCATTTCCTTGTGGGGTTTTGTCAAATGCTTAGGAGAGGAGAATGTAGCTCAGCCTCTTCACAACCCTGAAGAGAATCTGCAGCACTTCACAAAAGCAAATGCCACCGACCACTGAAGAGGGCTCCTAGAGTTATGACAGGCATCCCTTTGTCGCTCTGGCTGTCGACCCTTCTTTCTCATCTGCCAACTCACTTCCAAGATTATGCGGAAAAGCTTTTGATTGTACTGGCAACCCGCTGCGGCCCCAAGTGCAGGAGTAAAAGCCCTTTGCAGAGGGTTGGTAAGAAGTCCCAGCCGGAGATATCCACCTAACCCTATTACGGCAGGAGCATACACTACTGTATCTTAATGATACTGCAATAAAAACCCATCATCCCTACCAAAACAACAACAACGATAACAACAAGGCCCCAACGTCACACTGTTATCGGGGCGCGAGGGCAGGTCTCCGCCCCTCTATGGATTTACACCTAAACCTCCGCGAAGACGAAGCCAGGCTGGACCTCGGACAGTCAGCTGTCTCCCGCCCGACTTCCGGGAACGCCACTGGCCTTCCCACCGCCCGACTTCCGGAAACGCCAGGGGCCTTCCCACCGCCCGACTTCCGGGAACGCCCCGGGCCCCGCCCACCACCCACCGGGCCCACGCCCGGGCTGACGGCCGGGAGCTCAGTCGCCCTCCCGCCGCCGCGGGCCGGGTCAGGAAGTCCCGCCCGCCCGGACGCCGCTCTCGCGGAAGCTGGGCGCCGCCGCCACTGCCTGCGCGCAGACGCACCCGAGCGCGATTTACTTTCGCTTCCGCGGTCAACTTCCCTAGGCCCGGGCGAGGGGAGAGCGGCGGCGGGGGAGTCAGGCAGGACTCCGCCGCGGCAGCACGCCCGAGCCTGACGAGGGGGTCACTGGGCGCGGAGCTCGGCGGGCTCGGGGAGACCGGGCCGCAGAGTGGCCGCCCCGCCCCGCTCACCGCGCCCGGCTCCGTGGGCCTGCCGTCCGGCGCGCGTCCAGCCGCGGCCCGCGCTCCCTCGCCCGCTGGACAGCGCGCCCGGGCGCCGCGAGTGTGGGCCCCCAGGGACCGCCGCGTCCGGGAGCCGGTCCGCTGTCCGCGCCGTTTCTCTTCGAGTGAGTGAGCTCGGCCGGCGGGAGGGCGTGGATTGCTCGCTCCGCCCCTGCCCCTGCTCCTGCCCCGGAGGAGGACCGGGCGAGCGCCCGCCCCTCGCCAGCGGGGCCTGGTACCCACGTTTAAAATCCCGGTGATCTGTCAGCCTAAGGGTTGCGGCTTTACTTTGTTTTAAAGCGAGCTGGGAGACCGAAAGAAAAGAGGAAACGTCACCTAGTCATAGAAACCTCCGCGGCGGAGAGGCAGCTTGGCCTAGCGGAACACGCTGGGTGAATTACCCAGGGGAATCTGAGCTCTGCTGCAGGCAAATTACCGTTCTTTTACCTTTCTTCACCTCCAAAGTGGGGATAATAACATCTCTGCGGGGCTGTAGAGGAAGAAATGTGATATTTATTTTGCAGCTCTTTAAAATAGCCATTGGGAAGTCTCAGGCAAAATAGGAAATGCTTGCTATAGTGTTATGTTAGAAAGCAAATTATATGCTCAGCATGATTACATATTGTAAAAAGATTTATACGTAAAGAGAATGAGAAGCCACAAACTGGGAGTAAATGTTTGCAAAAGACGTATCTGATAAAGGACTGTTACCCAAAATACACTACAAACTCCTAAAACTCAACAATAAGAAAAGGAATAACCCAATTAGAAAATGGGCAAAAGGTCTGAACAGACACATCATCATACAGATGGCAAATAAGCATGGGAAAAGATGCTCAACCTTGTAGGTCATTAGAGAATTGCAAATTTGAAAAACAATGAGATACCACTACATACCTATTAGAATGGCTAAAGTCCAAAACACAGACAACACCAAATGTTGGTGAGGATGTGGAACAATAGGAATTCCCATTCATTGTTGGTGTCAATGCAAAATGGTGCAGCACTTTGGAAGAAAGTTTGGCGGTTTCTTAAAAAGCTAAAAATGGTCTTACCATAGGATCCAGCAATCACATGCCTTGGTATTTACCCAAATGAGTTGAATGCTTATGTCCATACAGAATCCTGCACATTAATGTTTATAGCATCTTTATACATAATTGCCAAAATTTGAAGGCAACCAATATGTCCTTCAGTAGGCGAATGGACAAAAACGCTGTGATCCATCCATACAATGGAATATCATTCAGCACTAAAAAATGAGCTATCAAGCCACAAAAAGACATGGAGGAACCTTAAAGACTTATTTCTAAGTGAAAGAAGCCAATCTGAAAAAGCTATATAATGTATGATTCCAACTATATGACATCGTAGAGAAGGCAAAGTTATGAAGACAGTAAAAAAAAAAGTCAGCAGTTGTCAGGTTTGCAGGACGATGGATGAATAGGCGGAGCAAAGGCGATTTTTAGGGTAGTGAAACTACTGTGTATGATACTATAATGGTGGATACATTATATATTTGTCAAAACCCATAAGTGTACAACACAAAGGGTGAAACCTAATGTAGACTCTAGCCTTTGGTTGATAATAATGTGTCAGTGTTGGTTCATTGATTGTAACAAACATACCACACTGGTGTAGGTCGTTGATGGTGGGAGAGGCTTTGTGTGGGGGCGGGGGATAGAATATGTGGGAACTCTGTTCTTTCCACTCAGTTTTGCTGTGAAACTAAAGCTGTTCTAAAAAATAAAGTTATTAATTTTTTAGAAAAGATATACACACATAAAAAAAGTGAAAGGGGTACTTATTCATTCAACAAACATTTCTGGCTATGCCAAGCAGGAGCTAGATACAAGAGTATCTGGTGGTAGATACAAGTGATTCATAGATATATACAAAGCACCTGTTCTAGGCACTAAAGACTCAGTTGTGAATAAGTCAGACAAAAATCTCTACCTTTGTGGAGCTTACATTCTAGGGGGGATATTGGAAAAAACAAAAACAACAAAATAAATGCGTGAACTAGTTGGTTAGTGGTGAGCCCTGAGAGAGTAAAAGCACAAAGCTGGGTAGGAGATGTGCATGTATGTGTGGGGAGCATATCAGAATTTTAGATGGAGTGACCAGGAAAGATACCACTGAGAAGGCTTGAGTAAACAACTAAAGCTAGTGAGGGAGGGAGCCATGAGGACATGTTGGGAACAAGCATACTGAGCAGGGAGGGAAGAGCAAGGGCAAAGGCTCGGGTGGGAGCACAGCAATGAGGTAGCTATGGAAGGAACAAGATAGAAAGTAGTAATAGAGGATGAGGTTGGAAAGGTAAGGCAGGGGGCTAGGGAGATTATGTGAGGCCTTTTAGGAAGTTTGCCTTTCACTCTGAATGAATTGGGGAGTCGTTGGAGGGTTTGTGCAGAAGAGAAGCATGCTCTAAATTACAATAGGATCAACTGGCTGCTGAGTTGACAATGTGCTGAAAGGAACAAGAGCAAAGAGGAAGATAAGTTTGGAGGTTATTACAGTCATGCAGACAGGAAGAGGATGGCTTGGACAAGAGTGATGGCAATGGAGGCAGCGAGAAGTCAGATTCTGGATGAAATATGAAGATGGAAGTGACAGGATTAGTTTAGAGATCAGAAACAAGGCGTGAGAAATGAGATAACTGGAAGGTTTTTGTCCTGAGCATAACTTGCAGGATGAAGTTGCTGTATACTGAGATGGGAAAGAATAGTGAGAACAGCAGGTTCTTGGAAATATCAGGAGCTCTGTTTGAACATGTTAATTTAAGATGTCTATTAAACATCCAGTTGGAGATGTCAAGTAGGTAAGTGGGTATATGAGTCTAGAGTTCAAGGAAGAGGTCCACGTTAGAAATACAAATTAGGAAGTCATCAACATGTGAATGATATGCTATAAGGCAAGATCATCAAGGGAGGTAATGAAGACAGAAAGGAAAAGAGGTCTGAGGAATGATCCTCCAGTGTTTAGAAGGTGGTGAGATGAAGAGGAGCCACCAGGGAAATGGGGAAACCAGGTCAGGGTGGAGGGGAGCCTTAAGAGGGTGATCAGGTGTGCCAAATGCTGCAAATATGTCAAGTAAGATGTGGACTGGGAATTCACCATTGGATTTGGTAACATGGAAATTGTCAATGACCATGACAATGTAAGTTTTAGTGGTATAGTGGGAACAAAAGCATGTTTGGAGTTTGTTGTTATGCTGTTATTCCGACTCCTAGAAACACTGTGTACAGCAGAGCAGAACCCTGTCTGGTCTTTTTGTGCCATCCTCTCACCTTCCGGCACTCTATCAGACAACACTCCGCTGCTATTCAGGGGTTTTCATGGCCAATTTTTTTGGAACTGGGTGGCTAGGTCCTTCTTCCTAGTCTGTCTAATCTGGAAGCTCTGTGGAAACCTGTCCACCATGGGTCACCCTGCTGGTATTTGAAATATTGGTGGCATAGCTTTCAGCATCACAGCAACATGCAGTCACCACAGTATGACAACCGACAGTGGGTGGTGTGGTTCCCTGAGCAAGAAACAAACCTGGCCATGGCGATGAGAGTGCCGAATCTTAACCACTAGACCACGAGGGCTGGCTGTTTGGAGTAGGTTCAAGAAAAAGCTGAAGGAGATGGGGAGGAAAATGAGAGACTGTGAGTATAGTTAGGTCTTTAAAGGAATTTTTCAGAAAAAGTAATTCAGATTAATAGGGTAGTAGCTGGAGGGAGAAGTAGAATAAAGAATATGTTAAGACCCCATATTTATTCCAAGATACTTTACAGCCCATTGGAGAAGCAATAATTCCATAAAAATAGAAATGTTATTTAATAAGGGTTATGATGGACGTATGTGCCAGGTGCTATGGCAACCAGCAAAGATTCTACTTGATAGGAAGAGAAACAGGAAAGACTTCACAAAGGAAGTCACACTTGGGTTGAATCCTAAAGTATGAGCAGAGGACTTCCTAGCCTGGTCTTGAAGAACATACAGAATGAATCTTTCCATTGAAAATAATAATGGAACATGGGCAAAATATATAAAATGACTGTTTGAAGGCACTGGAGAGAAACTAACACAGGGAGGACTCAAGAGGCTTCCGTCCTTGAGCAGGGGAAACAATATGAAGTGGCTTCTTGTTCATTCACCACAGCTTTTCTCTGAGGGCATTTCTCATTCCACACAAAGGATAATAGACCTGAGCAGAAAGTAGCCGTCTCACTGGTTGAGGAGTTTGGAACTTGAGGAGCAAAATCTCAGAGATAAGGGAACTATAGAGAAGTGACCCCAAAATTATCCATTGAAATTACAGTCCAGTGATTGGCTGAAGACTATACCACACATATGTAGGGACAGACTCCAAGAAAACCAGTAGGCAGGAGCAGACCAGAGGCTAAAAAGTTCCTCAGGATTTTCAGCAGCTTCATATTGCTAGGGAGATAGAGACTGGGATTCAAGCCCTATCAAACTGGAGGAGCCTTGGAAAATAGCCCAGGCTTTCTATTGATACCTCACATCACTAAGAGTCAGGAACATGCCTGTCTTAGCCTGCTTGGGCTGCCATAACGAAATACTATAGACTGGGTAGTTTAAACAACACATTTATTTTCTCACTGTTCCAGAAGCTGGAAGTCTGAAATCAGGAGACCAGCATGGTTGGTTTCTGATAAGGCCTCTCTTCCTGGCTTGTAGCTGGCCACCATCTCCCTGTGTGCTCACTCACATGATCTCTTCTTTGTGCACGCCTGGGGAAAGAGCAAGCTTGCTGGTGTCTCTTCTTACAAGGGTACATATCCCATTATGGGGGTTCCATCCTCTTGATCTCATCTAAACCTAATTACCTCCCAAGGGTCCCATCTCTAAGTACCATCACATTGGAGGTTAAGGCTTCAACATATGAATTTGGGAGGGGGACACAATTCAGTCCATAGCAATGCCCTCAAAGGAAGAACATGACCCAGGAATAAAGGCAAAATTGAAATAACCCAGCTTTGACAAAGCCAATCTCTAACCAACCTAAACAGAGCCATAGTAATTTGCTAGTAAACTGTTCACTTGCCATAGGAAACAATCCTTTTTGTTAAGGACATCACTCTGCACCTCTACACTTTCTCATAATGTCTG